TTGCGATACTCACACTGGGTAGCCATTGTTCCTGCCTGCCCTCAGCCCGCAAAGCAAATATGTCTGAAAAAAGGGGGTGGAAAGTCATACAAGATTCAAGTAAGACAACATTTAAATGTCATATTTATCAAACTCCTAACCACAGTGTCATGGCATTTCTTCTGCGTAATAATAATAAACCTCCGCCTGCTTGTTTTTTTGTTTGTTTTTCTCTTTTACTGCGCTACCTTTGCCAGGTCTTCCAACGCTTGTTCTGCTAGTTAACGTAGATAGAAGAGGAGGGGGGAATGCCGAGTCTCCACCTCAAACCGAGAGACAGCGAAGCGGTGGGTATTTCCAGGCGAACACAATTCACCATTCAGCGGCATACAACATCAAAGGCATATTTATCCCCCTCCCCCCCTCACCACGTCCAAGTTCCGACCTCGAAGCTCGGTTTCCAATGAGAGACACAACCCCCCCTCTGCCCGCAATCACTTCTACGACTCCTCCTCTCTCATGGAGGCTCCAAATGGGATAATAACAAGCAGACTAATCGAGACAGAGCGATAAACCCTGTCTGTTACACCAACAAGAGTGGTTTAAAACCCGAATAAACGGGAGCGCTTTCAAGAATTAGCCATGAAACGTGCGTAGCTATCCTTACCGTTAGTTAGCTAACTAGCTAGCTAACATAAACAATCAATGGTAAGAGATTGAAACACCCAGCAGAAACTCTCCGCTCTGGGGTGCAGTTAGCGTCACCAGTGGCTGATTTTACCAGTGGGATTTGTTCTGTATCGCTGGAACGGTGACAACTGAGGGGGAACATTAAACATCTGATTCAGGTTTGATTAGCTTAGCTAACCGAGACATACGAAAAGTAGATCCAGGCGCCACCGTTAAAAAAAAAAAACTGCTGTGCTGCTGCCAGCCGAATCAGAAAACCCCACCGGAGCCCCCCCCTCCCCACAGATGACTGCCTTAGCTAAAGCATGAAACTGAGGCGATGTCTGAGCTAAACGTGTGGTCTTTACCAGAGTCGAGCGGCTCCTCCGTAGCTTCTGTTGGGTCGAATGTTATCCTTTTTTTTCCTGGCTGTAAATAGTAAAGGACTGCTAGGTGAACCACCCGTCCTGGTCCAAACCGCACCCGCTTGCTGCGAAGATGCTGCTTCCGCCAGTTGAGTTGAACATCAAGATGCCGAAGAGGGCAAAAATCTCAGTATCCTGCCGCGCTTCAAAAAGTAGAGCGTCTTTCCAAAATAAGTTAAACATCTAGAAAAGTGTTCAAAATCTTACTTTTATAGCTGAACGTTTCCATTCAAGGCTAATGTACCTGTAATAATAAAAGCTGATTAAATATTTGCTGCTGTTTCCGTTTGGATATTTATAAGTTTCAGGCAGGGACATTGTTAGAGGATTTGAGCCCAATACATTTACAGGCAGGTAGCTGCATACTTTATTTTTTATTGTCTGCATAAGATATTTTTTTCCTGAATCTTTTTATTTATTTTTTATTACAAAAATTGCCACATAATTGCCTTCTATTCTAGAAATTCATGCCTCCATATACAATAATACCAAATGTTTAAATCAGTTTTTTTCCCCCTTATAATAGTAGCTAATCTAAAAAGGACCACATACCATCAGATATTGTATCTATTATACATTGATCAGGGTTAAAACAATGATGATGAAATAAAGTGAGTAATTTAACAAGAAACTTAGTAATCTGCTAAGATTAACTGCTTTAACATTAAATTTATTTTGAATTTAGTTGGTTTCATATACGGAAATATACCATGGCTTGTTTTTCTATTTTTAATGATAATTTTATTGACTTTCAGTGTAAACGAAAATGCACCACATGTGGTAGATTTTATTATCCCAATACAAAATCTTAAAAATGAGAAAAATAAAGCATCATATTGATTTACTATCACTAAGCAGAGGCACAATAAGCAGCTGCTTAGCATCCAAGAATAACAAGTGGTTTCCAACACCCAAAATTAATATCCAAATCAAATGAATCCAACCATTTTATTATTTTTTTTTTCAAAACTACAAATGTGTCAGCCTTGATATTTAATTTTATTTTGCATAAATAATTTTTGTTTTGAAGTACACACCTTCCTTTTGAATAGGTTAACTTTTTATAGGTAGGCAATCAGTTTATACTCTACCCCTCTACATGTTGCAATCACCCAAACATCTCTGTTGAAGTGCTGAGAATACCGACTTAAAGGGGTCCAAATCACACATAAGAAAACAGTATTTTTTGTCATTGTTTTGCTTTGCTGAAAATGGTATCCTTGTGAATGTTCTGTAAATGCTGGATTTCAACTTTAACACAAACCTGGTAAAGGCTTTAAACCATATGTCCTTCAAGGTTTCAACCAAGGTCCCTTGTATCAATGACCTGGACTTACAGAGCTAGAACATGCAGAGACAAATCAATCAGTAATTCTTTTTTCTCTGTGCAATTTTATCATTAAATACAATAAGGTTTACAACTAAACTGCAAACTCCACTTGTAATGCATTTTTATGACTAGAAAAAAGGAGGGAAACAGACAGTTATAAATGAAAGTAAAACAAACAAAAAGCAGCAGCAGTGTGTGTGAGGCATGCCACAGACCTCAAAAGGTAAAAGTCCAAATACAGGTTATTGAGAAAGACATTGTTCTATGAACAGGAAACACACCAGGAAACTACACAACATTGTTCAGAGTCTACTAAGGGTGTGAAACTTTAAAAATAAAAGTACATTTTTCACACTATGCATATGTGAATGTGCCTATTGTATTGACATTTCTTTTAGTTGCTTCTTTGGTGTATATTCATATTCGGTAAATCAGAATTAGCATTCCAGTAAGGTTTGTTCGGCAGATTAAAAGTACCTTTTCAAAATATCTCTCTTTTAAAGGTTTTGAGTATACTTTTTAGGTAACTAACATTTCTTTATATAAATGTTTGCCTGGTCTAATATTCTAATATTAAATAATATGTCTTCATTAGCTGAAGGCAGGAAATCAATCAACAAAAAATTAAATAGAAATTGGTGGTTTTCTGAGATATTTATTGTATTACACTTAGTGAGTCAAGTTATTGAGATATGCCACATTTTATGCAAAATTGGAATTTGATGGATGAATCTGTATTTTTTCTTTTTGTCAAGTGGATAATATCAACCCCCTAAAACAGGGTTGTCAAAATTATTTTCATATTATCTTAAAAAAGCTTGATTGCTGTTGTATAAATGAAACTGTTGATTTTATTGGTTTATATACATAGATCACACTGTCTGCTTTTAATTTGTGCCCTTTAAAAGAATATGTGCCTCTACTTTAAGACATGATCAGCCTTTTTTGGTTGTGAAAAGCCTCATTCAGTCTGTGGGCCTAGAGTTTGACAGATGTGCCCTAGAATAGGACACATTGAAGCTCTGCCACTGCCTAGTTTACCTTGATACTATGTACAGTTGTTTAAAAGGAATTATAATAGAACAGCCTCAACTAAAAACTGTGCAGCGCTATGTAAAAAAAAAAAACATTAGGAAATGCAATATATTGCAAGTACATTCTTCATAAAATAAATGTATTTTTTGTTGAACTGAGCAGGTAAGTGAGACACTTTGCCAGTGGAATAAGACAATTTCTATTTGAAATAGGAAAACTGCAGTCTCTTATTTCAAGTGCATAATATCTTGTTTTAAGGGCAACACCGACCATTCCATTGACAGATCATCTTATTTACCTACTTAATCACAAGCAGGATCAAATTCTTGCCAAGTAGGTTTGCACTTACAAGGAATTTGACATGGTGTTGATGGTGCAGACAAATTAGATATGTATACGGAATACAGAATCTATAGCTATATGCAATGTAAAACATACAATATTTAGTATATAGTTATACACAGTAGACCGTGTTAATGTAAGTTAAATTAAGGGTAAACACATTTTAAGAAACGTTTACTTGTTTTTAGATTGTTTTTGCAGTGCATTAAGGGTTCGAATAGCACCAATCCGCCATATCCTACCCAACAGACATTACGTTAGTTATCCGTTCTCCAGATTTTTTTAAAGGTCTGCATTCTCTAGTTCATTCATTGTTTATGATAACTGAAATCAAACAGCTGATAGAGGATTCCTGAAGTCCTGTAGGCTGTGAGGCAGGAAATCTAGGGATCTTTTTTGTTGTTTTAATGCCACACAAACCACTGGCAGTAGAAATAAGGAAACCTTAAAATCGTTCTAATTTTTCAATCTGGAGTCTTGTCTGACTTTCCTCTCTCTACCTAGCCTCCTGTCACCCCACTGTTAAAAATAATATATTTGATTTAGCAGCACAGGTAAACCTTTAATACTCACAGTGAGACACCTCTAAGTGTTGTTTAAGACTAAATGATCCGTATAATTCAGTCAGGTCTATATGTTGCAAACATTGGGAAGGATTTTTTGACTTTCTTTTTATCTCTAAACCTCTACAGACAGTTTTCATTCTTTTTTGATCCTTTTTAAAACTGTAAATAAAGCTTTCCTAAAATAAGCAGCATATTCTTCTATTCTCTTCTAGAAACCAGACTGCAAAGGTAGATAGATGGACAGGATGGTTAATTGGACTAGAGCAGGATTTCTAGTTTCTGGCCCTAAAAATCCAGTTTCCTTCACCTCTTAGATGTGTCCATAATCAAGTGATTGGCAGGACTCTGGAAAACTAGATTGCACACTGAGGAGGCGATTCAGCCATTTGTTTCAGCCGTGGAAGTAGAGACACATCGGAACTGAGAAAACCTGGACAAGAAGGTGGTTGGATGTATGGCTGGACAGAAAAATGCCTGTTGGACAAAGGCATTGATGGATAAATGATAGAAAAAGATGGATGATACAATGGGTATATACCCAATGGTAAAATGGCAAATGAATGGACACTAGGACAGGTAACACACTCAAAATACAGTCAGTCAGACTCAGTTCTTCCATGCTTTTTCACACAAATAAAGGATGACAAAGGTAAATCCGAATAAATACACCTTTTTATTTGACTGATTGACATGTCTTGATTATACAAACGCCAACACGGAGCTCTGAAATAACAGGACCAATCAGCGAGACAATGACTGTACATTCCGAATGTGAGCCTCCTTGGCTGTAATGCCTCCTCCCCCTAAACCCCAACCACCCCCCCCCAACCAGAGCATTACATTTGCAAGTGCTTATGTCTTATCTACAAGCACCTCACCGGGTCATTTTGCTTATTATAGAACAAGAAACCGTAGTGTTTCAGTACCAAAGTTTTTTTATTTTTTTAATATTTCCATAAAGTTCGGGGTGTAACAGATGCAGCTGGTGTAATGGTAGTGTATCGAGAAGGTAGTTGACTTTTCTCATCTGGTAGTGTTCAGACCAAAAGCCTCTTAACAGAATGGTTTGTGAGTGAAACTTTTCTAATTATCCTCTATCGATCCCATTCTTATATTCTTAATTCAAACATTTATTCATACAAACACACACACACATACATACAAATACTGGTATGTTTTCCCTTCATTAAAAAAAAAAAAAAAAAAGATAGCTTGCAGATATTTATTTTTTTTTGTTCCATCTGTTGCCTCTTGTCCAATAAACACACAATCACTCCTATTTTACCCAAGTGCAGTCTCACCATCAGCATTTATTCCGTAAAAACATTAACCGTACCATCGCAATAAATGGATGGATAAAATACCCTTACTTTCATTCTTGCATTTTTTCCAACCGCCCCCTTTCACCCCAGCTGGTCCCCCCTGCTGCTTTCCCCACAGTATGTAACAGTGACACAAACTTGTCCTTGGTGTAACAGCTGAGAAGACGGAACCAAAAAAAACACAAAAAAACAAAGAGGGTGGGAACGAGGTGTTGGTGAGGGGAGACGTAAGGGGGAAGAGATGGCGAGTTCTTCTCCTTGAGAAGAAACTGATAAGAAGGACTGTATCTGTCCGCTCGTCCGATCCCCCCGCCCCCAAATCTTTCTGATGAAGAGGAGGGTGATGGTGTAGGGGGAAAAGGGAGGTGGATGGAGGTGCAGAGGAGAGAATAGAAGGAGAGCAGGGGTGAAGTGCGTTGCTCTTCATGTGTCCTGGCCATCGGTGGCGTCGTTGGCATTGGACAAGTCTGAGTCCGTTTCCCGATTGGCTATGCGATCCAGCTCTGCCTGGACGTCGCTCAATCCCAGCTTTGAGCCTGCAGTAGTAAAAATAAATTGCAAAGGATTAAACATTTCTGCATTTTTTTCCCCTCACCATGCAAGAAGCAGTGTTTCAAATGCACATGATTGAAAAAAGGAACTGGGTGAAACTAGGGTAGATTTAGCCTAGCCTAGTTTAAATCTATATAATCATCATATATGATTCATGTGTATGAGGACTACCTCCATTTAATTCTAGCGAGTTTACAAATGAATGCTAACATCACAGGAGGCCACTGTGCTTCAAGTGGTCTCATTGTGTCTGAACTCATTAGCAGAAAAGAAGAGCAGCCGCTGCTGTCGTGGTGCTGCAGCTAAGAATAACAGCAGCCAACACTGACAAGAATAATCCCTGAATGGTAGCAGAAAATCAATAGAAAGCCACAGACTGTTACAAAGAAGCTAAGCTTGATCAATTCCAGGCCTACTTAGCTAAAATATAGTGCCAAGCGATTAGAGTATATACAACCTTTTAGGGTTTCTCTTTTTTCTTTTTTTTTAAAAAACGCATTTAAATTCAGCCTGCTTGAGCCAATACAGCTGCCAGCCCGATTAGTTTATCTTTCTATCTAAAAATTTACTTTTCAACAGCCTTTTCAGAGAAATAACTTAAATTAGATCAAATTCAACTCTCAGTGAACAGCAGTTCTCAAGTCTTACCACGCCATTTTTAAATGGGTTAAGGTCTGGACTTTGACTAGACAATTCAAAAACACGAAAACCTTTTCCAAAACTAGTCCTTTGCAGTTTCAATGTGCTGAAGAAAAGCCACAGCATGATGCTGACAGCATGTTTCCCAATGTTAGGCATGTCCAAACTCGGCACCTTGATGGTTACTGTCCTTCAGGATTTAGAGGTTTCTGCTTCAGTAACGCTGATTTCCATTGATGGCTGATTATCAGGCTTTTGCTGAACTGACATCATCAGAATCAGTGCTGAAGCCTGTAACATTGAAAACCTGTAACCCCCTGCTCACACCGACTCCGGTCTTACCGTTGCGGTGCGGTGGGTGCGGCGCCGCAGTGATTTCAAGTCATTAAAAAGACGTAAACCTCTCTCACCGGCTGCTGAGCTGTCCGGCTGCGGTTACCGAGACACTCCGGCGCTGCAGAAAATTCCGCAAGAAAGCTATCCTTGCGGCGTGCCGGAGCCCTCCGCAACAAGCTCTCGCAAATATCCTTATTTGGGCGGTGTTATCGCGTGAAGTTACGTGAACTCAAGTGAACTTCGGTTCTGGCGAGTTAAATCTCCGGACCTGTTGCCGGAGCCGCAGAGCCGCACCGCACCGTAGTCAAAAGGGCGGTGTGAGAGGGGGTGTGCGGGAGTTGCGGTCTCCGTCGGCTCGGTAACCGCACCGGCGCCAGTGTGAGCAAGGGGTAAGACAGTGGCCCTTGAGGACTGACTTTTGACATTCCTGCCCTATGTGGAAGTGCGTATACAAGGGGGGTGTCGTAATATGGCTATTGGCCCTTACAGGATGTTGGATGTAGGCTGAAATATTACATTTTGTTCTATCTGATCAGAACACCTTCAGCCAAATGTTTGCAATGTCTACCAGACTTGTGACAAAACAGCATTTCTTTTACTTGTCCTGATATTTTGGCAATAAAGGTAAATTTGTGGAGTGAACAACCAACAGTTTTTTTTCCCTAAACTTTGGGTCTCAGCTGCTCTTCCAAAGTTACCATGGTTCTCTCTGCTGCTTATGCTCTCCTTGTCAAGCCTGTCAGTTTAAGTGCACAGCCATATTTTGTACCACAGTCTTTCCATCTTTGGATGGTAGATAGAACCGTATGCTAAGAGACATTTGAAGGACAGGATATTGTTTTATACGTTAACCCTGGCTCAAATTTTTTGCAGATTTCTCCCTGACCTGGCTGCTGTCCATTGGCCTCCAAGAGGCCCTTTGCTCACCAATCTTCTTTAGCAAACATCCGAGGTCTTTAGAGAACAGCTGGATTTAAAATTAGATTAAATTACACACAACTGGGCTATTAGATCACTGAAAAGAAATTACTTCACTGGACTATTTTAGGGATGTCAAACTGGGTTCAGTGCATAAACTCACCCCATTATTCACTTGCAATTTTGTTTATCATTTAAATAAACATACAACTTTCCTTCAGAATTACAGTTAAACAATATTTAGAGTCAATATTTAGAGTCAATCTACTCAATAGATGGAAAGCTGAGCAGCCATTCCTTAGTGAACAATGAGCCTAACCTGATATGTTGAACTGCCCAGCCTTAGTTAGAATCATGTGCATCGACTGCTGCAGGAGTTAATGATGGGAAATGCATTGCAACATGCGAAGAAAAACAAAACACTCATCAGTGAAAAAAAATTTGCAAAAGAAGAGGAGCAAGGTACAAAAACAGGGGAACGTGCAACGGCTATGATTCACGTCTTTTTGCCTTTCTGCTGATAGACACATTCAGACTGACTGCATCTGCTCAAACCCAATCAGCAAATAAACACTGAATTATACAAGATAATCACATATATAAGCTGTTATATAATTCCTATCGGTATACATTTAGGCAAATAAAACCTGCTGATTACCAAAAAAGGCATAACTTGAAAAAAGGGGAAAAAAATAGTGATAACTAAACGTTTTCCATTAGGTCAAGGCAGGGTCAGAAGAGGGAGGAGGGTTTGGTGAAAAATAAAAAGGTAAAAAAAAAAAAAAAAAAATCAAATGGGAGCAGTAATAAAGGAGAAATACCTTGCTCAAACACACCTTAACGTGGCCAGCATCCTCTGACTAGTGCATACAGACATTATGAATGGAGTGGAGGAGAAGTAGGAAAATACAGATAATGGGAGCTGGAGTGAAGAGGTGTGACTACGGATGGAAATGTCCTCAAGCACAATTATCTAACATGTAACTCTATAAAGACCAGTGAAAAAAAAGAGAGATTTTGTATTCCCACCTGACTTCCGTACAGTTCCTGGAGTGTTGTTACCACCTGGTGTCCCGGGCCCTCCTGTCCCAGCTTTCTTTGTCAGTAGACTGTTGAAGAAATTGGCCAGCACGCCCTCACTTGTCTGACCTGTGGCGCAAAAGAGGTAGACATTTATGTAGCACATAAAATATATATATATTGAAAAAATATTGAAAGGACAGAAGGGTAAACAAAAACAGGCGACTGCATACCTGACTGCGGCATGGCGTTTGCAACGTTGGCCGCCGCCGAGCGATTGCTTGTTCTTGGGGAGCCAGTGGGTGCCCTGCTAGTGGTGTCCTACAGATCAGAGAGAAAAATAAATAAAAGTCACACAAATGGAAAGACATAGGAGGAGGGTTTCTTCATCTGAGCCAAAAAACAAACAAAAATGTTACTCACCACTGGTCGCCCTGGTGTCACAGCGGGCTGTTTGGCAAGCAGCGACTGAAAATTAGAGGACAATATGCACACTCACCCCAATTAGTACCTAATTAACATATCAAGACCCTCAAGACAGATTTAATTTGTAGGCCCACAAGCAATAGACCAGCATTCTTCAACACAGTGGAAATGTTTTCATACCTGAAGCTTTACCAGAAACACTTGGTCATCTTCCGCCTGAATCTCCTTTTCATGGACAATCTGTAGAAGAAGACAAACATTTCACAGTGGAGTTTTCTGAAACCTGAAGATCTGGGTGCACCTGGCAGTTTCTACAGGCCAACTTCCTTGTCTTCACATTTTATCAACAAATACTTCAGTGCATTTTATGGTTTTCTTAAATCTAACACAAAGTATTTCCAAGAACATAAAATGGAGGGAAAATGATGACTGTAAGCAAATTAATATAAAAGTGTAGCTTGCAGTTTATTAGCTCATTTACCATGAGACCTTGAATAAAATCTAGTGCAAACATTTGCCTTAAGCCATCAACACGTTAAAGAAAGACTTTCTGTAAAGGTAAAAGAAGTTTGCTAGAGAAGACTAAAGGGCTGGTTATACTACCTGCAGCAGTGTGTCGCAATGAGCTTGACGCAGATATTTTTGATTTATGTCCAATTTTATTCCACACCACTACACAAGAGGGACAATCACTAAGTAGCTGTTGGTGTAGATACAGCCAAGGCGGTGAGGAAGTGAGAGCAAGTTTATGTAACAATGGAGGGACATGAGGGTGAAAAAGAGCGCGGATCAAGATGGAAAAAGGGTCCCAGCGTTCTCTAGCACCTTGCTCTTTTAGAATTTTAAAGCAGGATTATTAAAAATAGTTCTGAGCTTTAAACAAGACCAGAAAGAGTATGGTTCATCTGCAAGCCCAAGAGATTATAGCCATAATCTCAAAGGGTATTCAACAATAGCTTTAGTCGCAAAAGCAGCCATGGTGTCTCTGTAGAGGCTGGAGAGAACTACAGCTGGGAAGGTGTGTTGACAAGGCTGCATTTTCTTTTTTTTTTTTTTTTTTTTTTTTTTTTTTTTTTACAACTGACAAATCTGGTTGTCATAAAGTAGTGGCAAGAAGAAAGGCATTGTTGAAAGAAATCCCTAAGAAGTGAAATTCCTAAGCTTGACGTTTTCTTTCCACAAATAATACTCCAAGAAAAACCTGTTAGAAGCTTTAGAAATCTGGAAACAGACCCCAGCCAGATAAGACCCACTGATCTCTATTTATTCACTGGATTGCAGATAGACCGAAAAAAATGAAGTAATTTGCCACCATTTTGGTCCTCCCTACTTTCACAGAGTTGCACCATAAAAATGCCTGTAATATAATGTAATGTAATTAACTTAACAATGTAATCAATACACGTATATTACATGCACATAATCATAGTGTGCATGTGTAGATAGTGTGAGTAATATTCTTAATATTTGACTACATTATTATTAAGCTCCATTAACACACTGATTTTGTTATGATGGATTTGTATTATATGTTATATTGCGAGATTTAAAAACTTCAAGGACTTCATACTGAATATGCAATATGATGTGCCATTTTTTTTACCTTAAATGACAAATATCTGAGCCATTAGAAGCATAAAGCTAATAGAGATTTCCTCTAAGAGACCGCTGTAGTTATAGTAAAAGGCAACTCAGTGAAGTGTTGACTCAGTGGAGCAAAATGTAAATACTGACCACACCACTTAGATTTTCGGATGGTGAAAGCTTTGAATGCTGTGGATCATTTCCCCTTCCTTTTATTTTAACATGTTCATTTGTGAAAACCTGTCACATTAAATTGTTCGGAAGTTAAGGTTAGGATGATGACAGTTAACACTAATGCTACATTAGCTGTGAAATTGATGGATTATGAAGGCTATGAAACTCTTTTCAAGTGCTTGTACCTTTCTAACAGGCGGTTTGACTACTACATCCTCAAAGCTGTCGTCTGCTTTCAGCGTCTGGAAGTTCTCATGAAGGATGGCGATCTTTTTCTCATTATCCCAACCTGACGGACTGGCAGAGCACAGGCAGGGTTACAAATCAACTACAGATGTTGCTGCCATCCCCTGGGAGATGAAGTGTACCAGCTTACATGAAGACGGCGTCTTTCTCCACCACCTGCGCCGGGCAGTGGAAGGGAAAGCCATAGAGTCTGTGAACAAGATATTTGTAAAGGATGTCTAGGTTCTTCATCTCCTTCACTGACGTGTAAAGCAAAGAGGCGCCGTCTGAAAGGTCTGTCAAGGCTATTCAGAACAAAGCAATGTCAGCAAAAATGGGCCTGATACCATGGTTACAAACACCTTTAAAAGAGAAAAAATACGAAAAAAATCAGGGTTTAAGCTGAATGAATTCTTGCTTGGACTAATTAAAATCAGCTCAGAAAGCAAAAACATTTTCACTTAATAAACATTGAAAACTTTCTTACTATAAGGCAAGGTAAAAGGCAGCTGAAAAACAAATTATCTAAAGTGGTAACAGTTGACCTGTTTACTGAACTTAGGCAAAATCTCTGCAACAAACACAAAAGATGGCAAGTTTTTTCTAGTTTATTCCAAAAAAGAAACAAACTGCTGAAGGATCAAACAGTGCACACAAACATTATAGCAGCCTTTTAAAGGCCCTTCATGTGCCGCATATTCCGCTGTGTTTGTGTGCGTGCAAAGTTTAAACCTGCAGCTGCAGCATTGGTGTTTTTTCAAGGATACACTGCAGACAGATATGTCTGATGTGGGACTGGATGAAGTCCAAGTGTTCGTCTCTGTAGTCGTGCTCCTTCTCCAGTGTGCTGATAGCATCACACTGAGGAGAGATAAGCAGGTAAGAGCAATCAATCGGCATTGATGCATAATTTACCTTAATGCAAACGTTTTATATACAGTAGTGGTGGAGATAAGATTACATACGCTCATCCAAGTCTTAGGCATAATGTTATTGTTGTGATTTTATTAAGAGTCAATCTTTTTCCAGGTTGGACTGTTTACTTTACAACACAAACAAATGTACTCCTATTGGGAAAGGGTCACAATAATGCATTCAGCCTATGAGATAATTTTGGTTAAATATTCAACAATTTCTGAGAAATTATTCAAATGGGTTTGGCCGTTAACCACAGTTGGAGCTATTCCAGAAGTTTGATGCTAGCTTTGTCTATTGCAAAACAAGCTTTGATATGTCCACTTTGATATGTCCACCTGTGATCTGCAACTGGACCTTACTACCTTGTCAAAACGAATAAGTAGTTGCAGGATGATGGTTCTTCATATTTGGATTCATGGGGAGAATGAGCATTTGTCACATTTATAAAAATTTGCACAATGAGAACTAGAGCCTTGACTGAAATATTGCTATACGTGTTTACATCCGCCGCTATCATGTTGTGTTCTGGAGTTATCTCTGTAACAAACATATTCTATACTATTTTAATTGATGGAAGTACCGTAATAGCAAAAACTTGCATTTTTGAGATTAGCAGAATATTAAAACGTTTTTGCACACATTTCTAACGGAAACACATTTACATTGACTTAGCAGGTGCTGAACCAAATTCTTCAACTTCATCTACCACCTAATATGAGCCCTATTGCTGGGTTAACACTTGAGCCTTCATGAGCAATTCTGACAATGCGTGGAGTAAAATCCATGGCAAATTGAAAGTGCACCAGTTACTTATTTTGAAAAATATCCCACCTATCCGCTATATTCAATCAAAATCCATCAATGAAAGGATTTATGACATTGCTCTGAATGAGTGTATGTAAACTTCTATCCAAACTTTACAAAAGGCCCTCTACCTTTGTGCAGACCACCACCACCGGTATTCCTAAGTTGTGTGTCAATGTGTTATCCCCTAATGGCAGAAGCACGCCCTCCTCTTCATCACTCCTCCTCTGCGGCGTGCCATCCTCTCCGCTGCCTGGCTCTGTGTACTCCTGAAACTGTTTTACGACTACAAACCACAAAAATGTTAGTTCAATGTTAGAAATATGGGCACATGTGGAAACTGAGATAAAATGTCTGAGGATGCTTCTGTAGAGACAGCCCCCCCCTCCATCTGACTCACTTTTGTGCTCCAGCTCCCGCAGCTTTTCTGGAGCAACTCGGAGTTTGTCGATGTGTTCCCTAGCAACGGCAGCCCACTTCTGAAGGGAGTCCAGGGCGTTCCACGGCCGTGACATGTCAACAGTTATCAGCAGCAAAGTGTCTTCAATCGAACTCACTGGCACAGCTACTCCCTGCAGACCTTTGTGGTAAAGGTCTCCGTCCAAGACCCAGGCATTGCACCGTGTGTAATCTAGACAAAAACACAAACTAGGTCAAGACTTCAGTAGCATTGTTATAAGATTTTGCACTACTGCCGTCTTGGAAGTAGAAAGAGGTAAACAAAAACAAAAAAACTAAGAGAAAAGAAATCTAAATATGCAGCCATGGTTACCATCAATATCATCATCATGGACGCTGAAGTAGAGGTATTCCAGGCCACGGCCTTTCATGTAATCCTCAATACCTTGTAGTTTTGCAACCAAGGTAGTCTTCCCTGAGCCCACCTCACCTAAAGACAGAGAAAAAAAGCTTATCACACAATTGTATTTAATTTTACATTTTGACATTTTTTATATCAAGACTAAAACAACATTATGAAAAGTTACAGTTTTACTGATTCTTCTCCTACTATAGTTTAAGTTCCTTTCAGGTGAAGCCAGAAAAAGCACCTTGTCCCCCCACATCTTGCTGCATTCATTCCTATACCTTTTAATTTAAAGTTGGTAAGGTGGACACTCACAACGTGGAAGGAAAATAGTTGCACTGGAAGCACACCTGGTAAGCTAGCAGCAAAATGTCTATATAACAGCTGACAGCGGGCTATAGATGAGCTGATAACCCTACTAACTGACCAGCTAATGTCAGCATGCTATATTGCTGTTAATGTTTTGTGAGGAACAGAAAAGCTTAAGAGTGTAACTGTGATTGAAATGATTATCAGCTATTTGAATCCATTTTATATAGAGTTGCATGATGTTAAAACAAAAATCACATTACAATTGTATTGTTAAATATTGCCAATATTTGACAATAAGAATAGGAATCAACCCACATTTCATTTACTACTCTTCTTCTTTTCCATCATAATAGTGTTTCCTCCACTTTCCCCAATGTTTATGATCTTGATCACTTTATTATACAACCTTAAAATCCTTCTTAGTGGTCAAATAAGCCTTTGACTGATTGGCATAGTTATAATCGAGAGGACCCAAATATAATACCATTAGATATGGATAAACCATGGATTCAATTCATCATGCAGCTCTTATTTCGCCTTAAACATGGATTTGTACATTTTATTTATAATATCTTTGCTGTAAAATCAAAACATTAAATAAATGTTACATTAATATATTATTAATATATTCCCACTCTGTGAAATAATACATGAAACCATGCTAACAATATTCTGTTTTTTACTAAAACTCTTTAGTTTTGGTTTTATGTTGTATTTAGTGTTTTTGTAAATATGGTATTTTTACTTGTAAGAATCTCACACTACATGATGGCTACTCTTGACACAAATAAAAACCTAAAAAACATGCAATTCAGAGTCCAAATATTTGACTCTTTAACTACATTTCTTTATTTGTCGGGATCACAAGAAGAAACATTGGACCATGAAGCCCTAAGTTAAATAGGGTAGATGTTCCAACCTCCCTTATAAGGATATTAATCGGCAATTCTCAACTAGACAAAATGAGAGAAACCAATTACCAATAAAAAACATAAATGCTTTAAGATTTAATGGTGGTAATTCAAGAACAATTCAGATCAAACAATATGTAAAAGGTAAGAGTGCATATGCTTTATGCTTTAAGAGTGGATATGCTTTAATGTACATCCAGTTGAATTGATATAATCAATGCAAATCAATCTAAGCTAAAAAAAAAAGAAATGATGTTCAAGAATCCTCAACAATCCAGGAAACAGGGGATATCGATTAAACGCTGCATATTATTTATATCACCTGAATAAGTATTTCTATAGCAATATGTAGCAATGGCCATACATAATGCAGTATCTATCTATCTATCTATCTATCTATCTATCTATCTATCTATCTATCTATCTATCTATCTATCTATCTATCTATCTATAGATATATATATATACACTTTGCATGACAATGTTTATGTCATTTTTTTTCCCATTCTTGCTCTGTGTCATATCAGCTTGAACCGACAGGGGGCCTGTGGAGATTACAGCTGCTGAGGTTGCTGATGTTGTCATGGACAGCATAACAAGCAAACGGCCTGCCATACACACACACAGCACTCCACGCACAGGTAACCAGGAGGCTGATTAGCTGAAATGGATAGCAAGCAGCGGATTATCAGAGGCGGAAGTGTTGTAAGCACTACCGAGGACTGGAAAGGGATCATTCCTGCATCGCTTAAACTAAACATCACAATATATTGCATTTTTTCCCCACCCATTCACCAGTTTCTCAGAATAATTGTTGCCTAGCAGCGTGTAGCATCACTGAAAGCTAGAATGACTTGCAGGGTTTCTCTCACAACATAACGATGATGCGTCAGGAACAGACACCTGCCTCCATCCCCCCGAACACAAAGCTTGTAGAAAAATACCCCATCATCATCATCCTCATCATCATCCTCAGCAGGTTTAGCTACAGCTGATTTAAGTCTGGAGAACAGGATGAGGGGATCGGCAGCTACCAGGCTATCAGAGCTAACGATGCCCATTGGCTAAGCAGGAGACTGCAGACAGATACCCACCCATGACCAGGACATTTTTCCCAGACGGTAGTTTGGATCTTGAATGGGTAGAAACTTCACTCAGGATGGTGGACCTGTAGACAGAGAGGGCCCGTTAAAAAAAGAAAAAGAAAAAAAAAAAAACATTCACAGATAAACAATAAGTGGCTTTAGCGAGCTGGTGCCGCTCTGTCACCACTCCGCCTGGTGCTGATGCTAGTTAGCATCGCTAGCAGGCTAGCTGTCAAACCATCCCTGCCACAACACTGTGGCTCTCCGCTACCAGACTGCAAAAACCTGCGCACACTAAAAGCACTTTTATTTTCTATCACCCACCATAGGTTCTGTCCGTCTTCTTCCTCTGGGTTGGAGCTCTCCAGTGTGCTCTTAGGTCCAGCTGATGTGGAGGATAATAATGCACTCCTCCCTGTAGTCGCCATCTTCGCAGGGTTTGTAAACCTAACGAGAGGCACGGTGTTGTGCAGAAAAACGTGCCCCCCGTCATTTGAAGGCAGTTTCTTTCCACCGTTCTCGAATAAAAATAATATATAGTTAATTGTACACATACATATTCTATTTATCTTTTATACTTTCACACAGAATGTAGAAATACAAGTTAAAAAGTAGCTTTTCTTATGGAAAAATCCACTTGAGACCAACAAGTCTCTGGAGAATTTGAGGTATATAATGACATATAACAAAAAATAATATGTAAATATTCGATTAATAAAATATTTTTATATATTACATTAAATGTATATACATTTGTTTTTTTTTATTGATATTTAATTACTAATAAAGACAACGAAATCAAATTAAAAGGTGGACGTGCTTCTGATTACTGGGGCCCTTTTTTCTGCGTAACACCTGAAGGTAAGCAGCAGCAGTGAGCTAACCCAGCTCATTGAACAGCACAGCACGCCGCGACCGGGGCGTGGTCCGGCCGCACAAAGCTCCAGCTTCACTACAAAAATGATGTGACATTAGGACTTAACTTACACAGAGAATGTAAGAGATACAGGTTAAAAGGTAGGGTTTCTAATGGGGGAAAAAAAGACAAAAAAAAAACAAACAAAAAAAACAAACAAAAAGACATCTGAAACAAAAAAACAAAAAACACCACTATCTCTTTCTCAGTTGTAATGAAATATACAAACTAAAGAAATAGTGTGTTAATATTTGTATAGGTAAATGTATTAAATTATTTTTTTTAAATTACACTTTTCACATTTTGTCAGTGGGAAGTTCAAACTTCATTGCATTAGTCTTGGGATTCTATGGAAACACAAATTAGTGCACACCCGTTGAAAGATTTTATTTATCTCTACTTTCCCTTTTAGCTTTACCAATAAGCTATTATTTTGTAGGCCCAAAATTTGCTGCCGTTGAAGCTAATCTGGCCTAAACCAGTCTTGCATTTCTAGAGACCAAAAATCTTTGCCCTTTTTTAAAAATCACAAGCTCAGTCCCACTGGATAGGGTGCATCCTTAAAACACTGATTTTCAAGTGTTTGCAAATATTATCAGTTGAATTTGGGTTGATAACTCTAACTAGATCACTCTAACACATGTTTATGTTTTGATCTTAACCTAAATTCCACTTCCATTTTCCCACATATGGTCTGGAAATATGACAGGGGGGCATCGCCCCGCTGGAAAATGAGCCTCCACACCACCCTGACGTCTAATCGGTTTTATTCGAGGATTTTCCTCTCTAATAATTTTTCCCTTTTAGAATAGTGCTCAAAGAGATGAAAAGTCTTAGTCTTCTTTTTTTGGTTTTTTCTTCTCACATGGTGTTTTGCATGTGTGAAGAAAAAACAACAACATATGGTTTCATTTAAATTCCCTTAGACAGAACCAATAAACCTTTAGTAATGTCATAAAAAAAAAAGTGGACTGTTCCCTGATGGTCACAGTCATTATCTGACCCAAGTGTAAAAGTTGGTCAATCTTAAAATTGCCAATTCATATAAATATCCATGTGATCCACAGTCTAGTTGGAATAAAGAAATAATCAGCTAGAATTGGTCCACATTGTTAAGTCTTTGACATATGCCACTGAATGTTTGGCCTATTTACCCCCAAAACTTATCAGGTTAAATGCGATTTCAACACAAATCCGTTTTAGACAAATTATCCCCCTAAATTTGCTGCCTTGTAAATCACTGCCAATGCTTTTTGAATGAAATAGCACCAGGCCTAAGCTTGTAAGGAGATAAAGCTATTAATCCATGTAGGATTTAAAAGCACTTCAAACTGAGATTTTGTACCACAGAATTTCTTTTTAAACTGCTCCATTGAAATGAATTATTTCAAGTTACTGAACTTTTAATTCAGAACATCAGGTTTTAAATGTAATTCCCAATGTTAAATCTTCAAATTTTTGCCAAAAACTTTGTTTAGAATTTGACTAAATATTTGGGTTCAGCCACCACTTGTCCTGTATTTCATGTGTGCTGGATAGCAGAGAACTAAAAGTGTTTTATGAAATGGAATTTAAGGGCAGTTGCTTTAAAAAGGGCAGCACAAGACCATTGTTCAAAATTACATCTGAGCCTGCAGCTAGGAAAAATTATGATTGGTAGGAGCTTGAAGATTTTAAATTTACTAAGATGATTGTGGATTACATTTTTAAGCATGTACTGTTCTGTGGATGGTACATTTGTAGATAATTTTCACTTCAATTAAATTAATATAGGTGTTTTCAATACCTTATTGTCCAAAGTTGCAGTTGATTAAAATTATGTATGAGATATATTACCCAGCATTTTCACATGTTAAAGTAACCTTGGTATTTACAGCTCAAGGGAACCACATATTGATCATTTTCATTGCAAGGGACCAGATGTAAATAAGGACAAAAGGTTTTCAAAAATTGGGAAAAAAATAACTTTTATTTAATAGTGTCAAAATAGTAAAAAAAAAAAAAAAGGCCCAAGAGCAATTCAAAATAGCTTAAATAATAAATAAAATGGATTTGGGTCCAACTCAGCTGAGGTCAACTAACTCAAAGTAAAAACTGACTAACTGATAAAAAACAGAGGCTGCTTAAATAGGGCTGGAATAACCTAAACTTTCCAAATGAGGGAGGCACAATATAGCAGAGAAGCAATAAAAAAATAAAAAGTCCATACAAAACTACAAAACTAAAACATAACTAAAACAACTCTTTTACTTAGCACAATTAATTGAATATTAAGGTGATACAATAACTAAAGTAAACTTAAACAAAATCCCCCCTCAGTTCTTGGGAAAGTGGTTTGTTCCTGAATGCTTCCACCTCCAGCTGATCTGCACCTGCAGAATTATGAAATTACACAAACCTTGAGGTGGAGGTAGAAGGATGCACCACATCCATGCTGCACTAATGCAGAAATGAATGGTAAAAAAAAAACTATTTTAGAAGTGCTGACCAAATGACCAAATATCAGCTGCATTTACTACAAAGTTCACGGACATACTTTTAAATGTAAATGCTGTCTTTAAGATTGTTTTTCGTGATTATCAGGAGCACTAGTAAATTATAAACAATATGATCATTCCAAAGAATAATTCTATAAAAAAAAAAAGTGAATAGTAGCTAACTAATTTAGCTGAGCAGTTGAATTTGTTAATTAAATGGAGGAAAATTATCTCAAAATAGATTAAAAAAAGATACAAATTTTGCTGTGCAACTCTAAAGCTAGTCATATATATATATATATGACTAGCTTTAGACCCCTTCAACATATATAGCCTATATTATATATACATAAATATTCCATTAATTTTAGTCAAATATATAGATACATGTGTGGAAATAACATGCGTTTAATTGGTTACGCCCGTTTCACAGTTTTTTTTGTTGTTTTTTTTTTGTTTTGTTTTTTTCTAATTTCCCTGGTTTAGGTCTAACAATATGTTTAATCTCTACACACGAACCCTTTTTTCGCCTTAAAGGTTAATCTTTGTGATTTTTTCCCCATTTATGCATGCAACGTAATCAGCCTGCAAATGGGTTCTGATTGAACGCATTAAATTGATCTCAGGAGAGGAATCTGTCGGGAACAGTGTGAACTTCAGCTGCCATGCGGTCTCAGGTGTGTGGTCAGCGCTTATTATGAAACCACTGAAGCGCGTCGGAGCCAATCAAATCTGAGCAGCACAGAATTAGTTTTCTTTTTTTGGTAAAATGTTCCTCCTAACAACCACTAGATGGCGTAAAAGGCCCACGATCGCTGTCCGCTGGTCCCCAGATGTACTATGCGCTCTCTGTGGCCCCCAATGGAGCCAGAGGATTCCAAACTCCAGTTAAGTGGCGCACCGTCCCTCCTCCTCCTCATATTGAGCCCGGAGCGCAGCAAAGCGCACAGAGGGAATCCTCTCCATCCTGGAACGAGCTGCATTTCAACCCCGCTTCGTCAGTCAGCGCCCCAAAACTGCTCGTGCTCTGCAGTGCAGGAGGAGGGAGGTCTAAGTGGGAGTGTGTAGGTGTGTGTGTGTGTGTGTGTGTGTGTAGGGGGGACATATCTACACAAGAGGGAGATGGGACCGGAGGCGTCAGGTATTCGTGGTTGATGAATGAAGGGCAGCGAAGTTCTTCTGCTCATCTCGGATCTTTCTTTCAGGACTCTGTGGTGAGTTTTCCCTCCCTAGGAGATCTGAGGCAATTCACTATTTATTCTGTTTAATTCAAACGTGTATTCCTGTAAAAATAATAATAATAATAATAATAATGATAATAAAAGGAGGAAAGAAAGAAGAAAAACACCAGTTATGATGTAAATATGCGTTGAAATAAAAATATAAAAATTCGGAAGTATCAGTTTTAATGAATTGAAAATAAATAAAGCAAATTTTAAAGATCTTTTAAAGTAATAATTTTAGAAGATATGATGCACTCCATGAATATCCAGCTCATTCTGCATCCCTTTCTTTTCTTCCTGTCTGCTTCATCCCTCCCAGTTGTGTGTGTTTATTCTGTTCTCTGATTTAATTTCACTGATCCGTCCACTTTACGCTCAACATATGCCAGCACCAGTGTTTAAAAGTTCACCAAAAAGTTCCCTTTCTAACTACTTTTACTTATTACTTTATGTTTACATATTTTCTCCTGCTAATGCTGCATGGTTCCTTTAGGACAAAATATTTGTAAATGCAACCGTATCTGTCTGATAATCATTATGTGACTAAGCAATTATTGATGGTGTCATACACCTTCCTGTGACTGGGTTATTGATGCCAAACTCTGTCACAGTTGCTGCTGTGCTTCTAGGTGAAGCTTGCTTTCCATCATGTACATGCTAAATCAGGATTCAAGGCAATTTAGCTGGTGATTCTGCTGTGCAGAAAAAACCTTCAAAATCTGCAACCAGTCATGTTTTCCTTTGATGATTGCTTGAAGAAAGTAGAGACTCCTACACGATCTGTCCCCATATGTTTGATAGTAGCTTCCACAACAGTATTGAAGTCATATGCAGAAATATATGTAAATAAGTATTTTCCTAGAGTTTCAAACCAATTCAGTTAAACTTGCTTTGATTTCATTGCTCCCATGTACGTCAGACACAATATCAACCTTAAATTTCTATGTTGAGTGAAGATATTTGGCTTTAACTTTTGTATATAACATTGGCTTTCGTTACCCTTATAAATGTAAAATACTGTAGCACATCAAATTCCAAGTTATCTTAGTAGACCAAACTGTCACAAACGTTTTAGACAAACCAATGGTATCAGTGTTGTAAATCAGAGATGCAATGTACTGTGCTACTTCTACAAGAACTGTATCTAGAAAAATGTTGTTCCAATGACCGTATCATGCTACGTTATGCAGATACTCTGTTATGCAAGTCACCCTCGTGGGGTGGTATGTGTCATCCTCAAGCTCGGGTCCTCTACCAGAGGCCTGGGAGTTTGAGGGTTCTGCGCAGTAGAATATATATATATATATATATATATATATATATATATATATATATATATATATATATATATATATAATACTATAATATAATAATACCTTCATGTAACATTGATCATGTAACTAATGTTTAATTATTCATTAAGCATATGGATGTGTATTTTTACTGAACATACACTTGAGTATGCCAAAATTTTATATACCTGAATCACTTTTCTTACTAGAATATTATATCAAATTCTAAAATAAACTAACTATAGACCTTTTAGTGTTTGTTTTATTTTCTTGATTTTGCGTGCAGTGAAATCATTGTAGACAATAGTAAACAAAGCAATATTAAAGCTACAGTGTGTAATAATTACAGGGATATACAGTACATAACTATGTTATTTATCATCATCTACGAGCTCAGCCTCTTAACCTTAATATTTGCGTTGCCTTAGAATTCGTTATTTATAATTACATAGGAGCGGGTCTCGCAGCCATGGAGGCAGACATCTTTGCGCTACGGCAGCGCAGAGCCAACAAAGTAGCGATTGCGAGATCGCCCATTACGCTCGAAAGTAACTACGGCAAGTTGTTTAAGTCTACATGAAATCTATACCCTACACAGACTAATGAAATACTATCTGTAAAATTATCTATGTAAACAAACCTCATCACTTGAGAAGGTAGGTGATGCGGACGTCGTGGAAGACATTTTGTCCCGTATTTTGTCCCGGTCTGCAGTCTGGACGTTAGATGTCGCTGAAAATTACACACTGTAGTTTTAATGTACACCCAATGTGCATCGAACTAGACAAAACGATGGTTGCTGTGTTTGCAAAATGTATGCAACAAAATTATTGTATTGTACTATAGTATTACATTTACTACGCCCTTTGTTCTATGAGAGCTACTAAAAAAAATCTGAATTTATAGCCTTCTTTGTGGATTCCATTCCAGTCCTCTGCTCTGACCTGTGTTACCTTACAAAGAAGGGTCAAAAGGTTATTTGGATGCAGTGTTTCTCTACAATATTAATGTGGTAAATATTTATTAGATGGATACCAGAAAACCAAAATAGGTCAAATCTTTAATCAAACCACCTTGCGCTCGGCTTCTTATAAACGTATAAAATGTGTTTAAAAAGCCTCTATTAACAAAGTGTAATTTTCAAAATACTTTCCTGTTTTCTTTTACGTTCAGCTTGCTCCACTTGTATCTAGTCTTTCTGAGGTTTCTGTTCTGTCTTTGTTGAGGTTTTGCACGTCACTGTTTAGTTTTCTCGGATGTTCCTTCTCATTTCTGTCATTGCACATGTTTTGTTGTGGTTTTTGCACAATGAGTATTACGGCACATAAATGTCAAAGTTAAGCAGTTTGACGAGGTTTGCAGAGCCCTGACGTTAGTGTGAGATCCTATGATGAAGTGCAATGCGAAAATTAATTGTCACCTCCAGTAGTGTGTAGCGCATGTGACAGCTGATGCTTTGCTGGGCTGCAAGGGCAGACTCTGCACCCAGAAGATGAATGTGAAAATCTTCTTTCTCCCTTCTTATCAGTGTCATCTGCTGTCAACCAGAACAGACAGACATCTGCTTCTTTCCACATACACGCTTCCACACCAACTCTGAAATAGTGGAACCACAACCAGTGAAGCTTTACGGGCCGGCTGTATTTCACATACCTGCCATGTGGTTCTGTCCAAGTTTCGTTTGTCTGTACACAGCCTGTTCGCTTTTCTTAGCTAAAAATAATCCCCCACACACACTTAGAACATGAATTATGGAGGAAGGGGAGAGAGAGGGAGATACATTCAGGTCAGAGTCAGACCCAGTTCTAAGAGCTCCGCTCCCTCAGGATGATACTACTAGACCGCAGAATTAAAATTCAGCTGGTATCATCTGAACGCCGGACGTGTTCTTTCTACAGCGTAGACTATCTCAATACAGGGTCAGAGAAGGCTTTGCACTTTTACATTATAGACTGAAAAGTTTAATCCTATTTATGCGTCTGAAAAGAATATATTAAGTTATTTTAGGAGTTACTTTTCTTATTGTAATAATGCCTTCGTAAGCTTCACAATTATTATTTGTTAAGTTGCAGGGAGGGAACAGTTTGGATGCATCTCAGTCAAGATGTTAAAAACAGGCCTATCAACACCTCTTCAGGCCACTGATTAACACGCTGTCATTTTTGCACCCAATTATATGGCGCATTAATATATTTATCATAACTCGCTAATTTGTGAGTCTGAGAATATCTCGTTTACTAATTTTATTTTTTGTCTGTTTTTTTTTTTTGGTTGCAGTTAGCCAGAACTGAACTGAGCTGTTTGTTTCCAGTCCCAGTTGTAAAGCCTGGGTAGAAATTAACACCTCTCACTTGTAGTTTTATGTTGATATTGGAAGGATCTCTAATCCACGCCAAGTTTTTTGCAAACGACTTCTTAGTTTTCGGTCCTTTAAATGCTGGCTAGGATTTGCTCTTGTTCCTATAAATACACTTCATACTTGCCAAACTTGGGAGCTGCCGTAGCATGCTCACCAGCAGAATAAGAAGGCAGCAGGTTGTGGTTGTAAGAAGCTTTGCTGTTGTAAATGTTGCAAAAGGTTCACTTAATAACTCTAAGCTGAAAAAAAAAATCTCCCATCTTGGATTTTTTTCACTTTTTCTTTTTTTCCTAAAACAGAATTTCCGATAGACAAAAAAACTACAATTGGTTCTGACTTTGAAAATGAAAGAACATTATTCCAGGTCTTTACATAGAGTTCTGTTCAGGCCAACCCCTGAAAATATGACGCAATTGCAAACAGGCCATTCACTTAAAAAACAAAAATAAAAATCTCTCGACATGATAATAATAGTCAAGCATTTTGGCCTTTATGGGAGAGGGACGAGAAGAAAACCACATTTGAAATAAAATCCATAACTACTGATTCAAGTCTTCTGCACACCATAGTATGAAAATCAAGTCGTTACTTCTGCAAAGCTTGTAGATACATACTCCACAACACTCAGGTATACATTAGTATATTTTACTCCATACATCAGGACATAAATAGTAATGTTTTGTGGGAGAATTTCATGCTATTGATAAAGCTATAGCCTAAGGGCAAAATGAGCACATATAGCTGGGTCTGATTCTTGAATACAGTATTTTTTCTTAGGTTTCTTAAACCTGCATTTTTAAAGGTGGAAAATTCTACTTTAACCAAGGAAACCATGACAGCCTTCGAGCCTGGCATTTTTCATGCCTTTTTCCTTCTTTGCTTGCTGTTTGGTTCAGATTAAAGGTTAAAAATTTATAGCAGAAGTTTAGTGAAAAAAAAAAAAACAAAAAAAAAATAGATCCTTCCTGTGTGAGTGTTAGAAATTTAATTTGTCATGCTCAGTGGAGCACCAGTTGTGCTCCAACTGCTGCTGAGTCAAATTTACAAAGAGAATCTCACACTCAGATACATCTAAAAGAATCCAAAACACAAGTAGTAATAAAATATTTCCCAATTTTGTCAGTTTCTATGCCTTACCATGGGAGTGGACCGTGAAGTGGGCTGCAAACATTCAAAGCAGGTGCTCTAAACATCACGCCAACACGCTGAACTAATCCCTCAAAGCTCCTGCGCACCTTCCTTTGAAGGCTGCAGACGGGGCTTTAGGATACGCCGGGACTTACCAGTGTACTTCTGTACAGACATAAACACTGAAACAGGTGCAGTAACTCCACAGAAAAGTGGGGATGATTTTATGCACATTCACACATGCCTGAAAGACGGTTTTATGGAGAAGAAAGTTCTTAAACACCCTTGAGTTTGGCTGATGAATGGGATCCCTGTTAACCCATCAGACATTTATATTTTATTAACCTAATCATATAAGCAATGCTGTTGCACAATCCAATTGTATTTCAGTAGATTAAAAGCTTCTGGTATTAAAAAAAAAACAAAACATAGTTAGCTTCATTCTAACCATGGTTGACTGTAAAATGTGATTAATTATTTGCTATTCAATCTAATTCATCAGGGAATAATGTCTGTGCAACTGTGATTAGATTGTTTAGAACTCATTCAGGGATGCAGTATGTAGAAACCTGACAAGTGACATATACAGATTGGTCCCAGAGACTCGGCACACTCACTGTATGCTTATGAATGTTTGTTGGTGTGTGTGTTTGCAATGACCAGCCTTTTAATAGACTTAAACCTATGTGTGCATTTAGGATGTGCAATATGTGGGTTTATTTCCTTTGTGCACATTCAAGAACTGTGCAGCTCTGCAGTCCTGACCTTGTCCTGACAGGTTGGGCTCTGTTTGCTTATTCAGGTCCCCTATGTCTCTGTGCCAATCTCTGTGCCTTTACTGACAAACAGCTCAAATGTGCGGCACCATCCATCCATCCATCCATCCATCCATCCATCCATCCATCCATCCATCCATCCATCCATCCATCCATCCATCCATCCATCCATCCATCCATCCATCCATGATAAATGCTTATACAGTACCATATTGTCAAAACCAACAGAGCCTCCTATGAAGATCTAAGCTGGGTCCCAGACGGATCTACGACTCCAATTATTTAACCAGTAGTTGTCATATATTTCAAACCTACATAGCTATTCTTTTTATGTCAATTATGCAACCTCTGGGTGAATCCCAGTTGGGAGCCTGTTCCCTTACAGTATTGACCCAATATGTAAATAGTGCTTGCTGGTGACAGCATCATATTGTGGGGGCCAGAGATAAATGAGCAAAAAGTCAGTCTCAAGTTGTCCAAAGATTGCTGCAATTTTAGCAAAAGATTAATCTCTGTTGTTGAACACAGATTTATCTATCTATCTATCTATCTATCTATCTATCTATCTATCTATCTATCTATCTATCTATCTATCTATCTATCTATCTATCTATCTATCTATCTATCTATCTATCTATCTATCTATCTATCTATCTATCTATCTATCTATCTATCTATCTATCTATCTATCTATCTATCTATCTATCTATCTATCTATCTATCTATCTATCTATCTATCTATCTAATGTTGTATAAACAAGCTCCCACTTTTCCCTCTCTTTCCTTTCAGTGTGTGATTGCGCGTTCAGCATGAGTAACATCTATGAGTCTGCAGAGGCCACGCTGGGCTTCATTAGTTCTCCATGCCTGACCAAAGTGGAGCTGAGAGTGGCCTGCCGAGGGATCTCAGACCGCGATGCCCTCTCCAAACCAGACCCGTGTGTCGTGCTGAAGATGCAGTCACACGGCCAGTGGTTCGAGGTACGAGATAATGGGGAGGGGTAATAAGAGAGATGCTGCTCCAAGTAAATGAGTCTCCAGCTGCGAAAGGCTATTTCATATTCAGAAAATGATGGTTTAATGGTCAGGGCAGGAGAGGGAATCAGGAGTTTGTCATTCTTTAGTGTTCTTTTATGACACTCATTCAGCATTTATGAAGCATTCTGATTATTAACTATAGTAGCGATGACTCTGAATTTTTAAAAGTCCAATCTGGATTGTCACTAGGGTTTCAAATGTTGTCATGTACTGGATAAAGTTGAATTTCATATGTATTTTGGCATCTACTGTATTTTTGAAACATTGGTCTTGGATATTGTTCCAATGTTTTAAGTCATTTAAGTAAAGTGTACCAGAGGTGGGTGGGAGGAAATGGGATCTGTCAGAATTAGTTACAATAAAATATTGCTCAAATATGAGTCAGTTGAATCTTGAACATTTAGTCAATTTGCTGCATTATTTCTACTGATCTGAAATCACTTTTATATAGACACAAGCCATCAGTTCAAGCTGTATTAATTTTATTCCATGTTTAATTTGAGGAAGATATACTCTATTACTACTTCCTTTTTTTTTATAATTTATCTTATTATTTTGTTTATCTAAATGCTGAATTAACTTGCTAACACTTTTCATTTATTTATTCTATTCTTTTTCCATGAAGAATTGTATGATTTGTATCCATTAAAACTGCTTCAGTAAAAAAGTAAAATGTTCAAAAATCAGACTTTTGGAAATTCTCTGGAGGTGAAATGAAAGTTAGTTTAGGATCATTTTTCTATTCCTGGGAGTAGTGGATTCTGAATTTTTTTAAAAAGGACCAGCAATGTGTCCTTAAAGGACATTTTGTTGCAGGAACTTGAAAAAGAAAATAAATGTTTGTGCATATGCAGTTGCACTAATGCATGTTGAAGAAAAAAGATCTATAACTCATCCAATAAAACCTTTCATCCCACACGTGAGATTGATCAACATAGGTCAGCTTTTGGTGCAAATCTTCCTGTTATTTACAGTCAGTAATGCTAAATTTAGACATGAGGCAAGTATGCAATGCATGTTCTTAAAGAAAACACAAAATTAATTTTATGGTAATGTCTGGAACTGTGTCAGCGGGAACTTCACCGACTAAAAAAATAATAGAAAATACAATCCCTAAAAATATTAAGTCAATTTAATCTCACCATACCACTCAAAATATCATAAGCAAACAGGTTGCAGACAAAAAGAAGTCATCCATTGGCACTTAATGATTTTCTAAAGAATGCAGTTGCATTTTTGTTTTTAAAAGTTGAATGTCCCATGTTTCATAAAAAAACAACAATAAAAAAACATTAATGAAGCAAAACATCCAAGTTCTTCTCACCAACCTAATCATCTAAATCTAAAATGATAAGAACTCTTTATTTGCTCTTCTTACAAACTCATTTTCATCAAATCTCTGCAAACATGTTAAAATGCAACCAATTTTTTGATAGCTGTGTGACCGATAGCTTGTTTCACTGAAAGCCTTTAGCATGATCTTAGCCTCTCAGCTGGATAATCCTAGTGTTTTTTTTTTGGTAAATGTTGAACCTGTTAGATGCCATTACCTTAACAGTTTTCATACTGCAGAGGCTAAGATATTGCAGCGTATTTTAGCACCAGTTTCACTGCCATTCCCTTCAATTCGTCCTGAGAGTTTTGTAAGTTTCCAACGCTGCAGGAACCTGAATGAAACACACCCAGCTTATTTGTTCACTGGATTGATGTGAAACTCAATAAAGGTACTTATTCTGCATTCAAGCTATCATGCCAGACTCTGGGTGTGATGTGTTGTTTAACTTTTATCTAGTATGAGTTATAGATCCTAATTATCATGCAGCTTAATTTGAAGCCAAACCTTTGTTGCAAGCATTGTGTTAATTGTGTTTATCAATCAAGTGGCTTTTATCAGTTCCAAAGTTTACCTTTTTTTTTTGGTAATGAAAACAATCAGACCTTCAACCTACGCGTTCTGTGTTATTTGCCTCTTTCTGAGCTAAAGAGGTCCGAATTAGATGGAGAAAACATCTTCTCTGGGTCGTTTTGGCAGTGGAAATGGATAACTGGTGCTACTCTAAAGTGTTCCACTTCAATTCCAATTATCAGCGTGGCTCACATGCTTTCCCAGGCATTTTAATGGACTAGAAAAAAAGAATATCTGAGCATAATTAAAGTCCAACATTGAGAGAAAGATAAATCCTAATGAATTTTATAAAATAAGCAAATTTCTATCCATTTTCCATATTAATTTAAACATACCATTAAATAGGGCAAATTTCATCATTTCAATTTATAAATGAGATGCATTTCAGTATATTTCAGTAGAACAGAATGCAAAAAGTATTAGTCTTTTTCATTCAGTTTAAAAATGGAAATAATGCTTTTTACATAAACAGTTTGATAGTATTTGATATATTATTTTACTTATTATCACCTGTATAGAAAACAGGATATTTTTAAGGAGTTGCCCACCATCCACCAAGATGACTCTCATCTTCCTGAATGTAAAGTTGAGAGCCATGTTCAAGGGATATTAACTGCAAGTTGAGTGGAAGGAAAAACTTGCAAAGAAAAGTTGTGCTGGAAACAAGAATTTGGGGGATTGGTGGAGATTCTTAAAGTGTTGACAACAGAGAACGTCAGTGCTTAAAGAGCCACCACAAAATGATCTAGCAGGGACTTGAGCTAGAACCATTAACCCACTTGCATCGAATCAGAAACACCCATTTAACTCATATTAAATAGGCTAAAGGGTTGGGCTTTTGCCTAGTCTTAGACAGTGTTTATCTCAGAAGATAGCAATTTTTCAAAGATTTATTTGTAATTTGCATGTTGTTAATATTAGATCTTTTTGTTAGATTCCTGTTCTGTGACTGATCTGACACACGTGCAAACATACAAACAAAAGTGTTACACGACAAGTCTTTTTCACTTATATTTCGTAAAGCAGCTATTTTTCCACAGAGGCTCAAGATCAAATGCTCAGAAAGTAGTGCAGGGTTAGGCAACTGGATCTCAAGAGAGTCCACAAAAAGCTACTTTGTTCAGCAAAGTGTGGTCTATGTGTTTATCCGTATGAAAAAATGGGAGAATATGTGCATATGTGGGGGTGTGAGATTGGACAATCTCTGCTGATCAGATTTACCTCCTTAATTGGATCATTGTTGGGAAGCAGCTGGGTGTGTTTGTGCGTGTTTAATGTGTTAAAGACTTCTTTTGCTTAAATGAGTTGCCAGTCCATTGAGGTGAGGGTAATAAAAAAACAGCCAACATCTGGTGTATGTACTATATTATTCCACTTTTTTCTTGCCTTTTTGTGCTCATGCTTGAGCCACAGGATTAACAACAAAGACAAGAAAAAGCAGGCGTTTATTTCTGCCTGCATTCGCGATCTTTTGTTGTCAACACTGTGACGGCCTTTAATTTGGCACTCTGATCCCTTCTGTGTCAGGCAGTCAGAGAGAAGAAAATCTGAGATCAATGCTACAGCTCCAGTCAGATTTCTGTGTAGTCAAACAGCTAGTGGGATTTTTTTAAAGCATCAAGAAAAATCAATGTTTGCAGTCCTCAAGTTGATAAGTGTAAACAATGTGGTAATGGCTATTTGTGGTAATTGCTGCAGTACTGAAAAGTCTTCAAAAGTTCACAATCGATGCAGAGAAGCAGTGTGCCGGATGTTCAGTGAGAGTTTCATGTGTCAGCCCACTTTGATATTAATATAAAAAAAGTTTTTTTAAAGGGACTCTGGCAATGATAAACAACACAGAAGGGGCAAAAATTACAACTTTTATCTAATTTAATGAAAAATAATAAACGTATTAACATAAATAGGAGGATAAACGATATTTAGATACTCTCACTCTTATTTAAAAATAAAGATGTCAATAGGATATAGATCTGGACTTTAACCAGGACATTCTAATCCTTTGATCTGAAGTGATCTGTTAAAGAAAAATTTTTCCCCACCCTAATTGCTACCACAGATATTTTTTCACCTTGGGGGTGTTGCATTCAGTGGGGTGCACACAGTTATATTCTGCACATAGTTAGGCACTAAGGCCAAAAGGTTTATGTGCGAAGTGTGGATTACATGTGATGATATTTGAACAGAATTACTCTTTTTCAACTATGTCAAGAATATCTATCTGGATGTCTTGAGTCTTTTAGAAAACAGGAGTAACGCAATATTCTATTATGTAGTTCAATATAGCTGGTTCTGTTTTTTATTGATATTTAATTAAATCATTTTGAATTGAAAAACCTTCCTGGATGGGAAGCGAAATGTCTTTAAACTTTGAAACAAAGTCCAGTGGATTGCTTTTAACTTTTTTTTTTTTATGATTATGACCTGGATGACTCAGAATCTTCACCAGCATTTAATCAAATGAATAAAGAGTTACATAAATTTGACTTGCATCCACATGCATCCTTTATAACTATAGTTAAATGTAACACACATCTGACAGAAAATGACAACTTATTTAAATTTAAGTTAGGTGGAACCACTTTAAAGGAAATAGTTTTTTCAGTGGTTTAGTATTTGTTGTATTTAAGGTTTCCCAAACATGACCAGCATTGTCCGCTTAATCAACAATCTCATCCAAGGTGATATCTATCGTTTCTAAGATGTATATAATTTTCTGAGGTTTTGGTATACTCAAAAGAACAAGTGTTCATTTTTATTCCAAAGTAGCATATGAAATGAAAGCCAGATTTCTTTATATTTTCTTGCCAATCATTTCTGTCTTAGAAAAGGCAGCCAATCAAATGCTTAAGTCTGACACATGTAAATACGTGTTTGCAGGTGGACCGTACAGAAGTGATCCGCAGCAGCAGTGGTCCGGTCTTCTCTAAGGTCTTTCTGGTAGATTACTACTTCGAGGAGGTCCAGAGGCTACGATTTGAGCTGCTAGACATCAGCTCTGGCAACAATGGCCTCCGTGACGCGGACTTCTTGGGAGCCATGGAGTGCACCTTGGGACAGGTCAGCTTGCTTTCTGATTGGACAGTAGATTTGAATCAAAGTTTAGAGAAACCATTAACTTTTGCTCCTATTGCCAATCCAAGTTGTATACTTTTCCCTCAACTTACTGCCATTTGTCATGTGACATAAACTGCTGTATCTTAAGTTTTACTTTTCAGTTTATGACTTGTGATTATAGATTATAATAACTATAATTATTAATAATCATAAATACCGAAAATCATTCATTTACTCTGAGACCAATTTGAGTACAGTTCTCTAAAAAAAACAACAACCAAAGACTACAGAAAAAAAACAAAAAAAGCTGTGAAAACATGTTTTCAGCTAATTTGGCGCTGAATCACACATGTTTTTATGGTTGGCAGTGTTGAAGTACTCGAGATTGGTCTTGGTCTCAAGACCCGGTCTCGAGACCATTTTTTGATGGTCTCGGTCTCGTCTCGGACTTGACCGCATTTGGTCACGGTCTTGTCTCGGTCTCGGGCGCTGAGGACTCGGCATTTTATTTCAAGACCGGTCAAGACCACAACTGTGGAAATAACACTAATCATCGGAATATTATCAGTTTCTTTAAGATCCTTCTTTTTAATGGATGCTTGGATTCAAATCTAAGCAATAACCTGTCTCATTGGTAAATGCAGTGAAGGAGATCAATGTATTTTTTCAACAAATTATCTGTCTCATAACATATTTCACAACTTGGTGACAGATATAGATTTATTTAAGAAAAGTTATATAATATAGCTTTAATCTGTATATGAGAGAGAAACAAGAGAAATTATTGGCTTGTTTTTCAGTTTTACACAGTTTTTTTTTACAGTTTTACAGAATTTTGTGTGTTAAATATCTAGGTGTTTTTATGTGAATGTGGGTCTTTTAGATCAATTTTTGTGATTTTGATCATGTTTCACATTTTATTGTCACATACTGGCGCAGGTCTTGGTCTTGACTCGGTCTCGATTTCCCTCGGTCTTGATCTTGACTTGGTCTCGGACCCTAAAAGTCTTGGTCTTGTCTCTGTCTCGATACACTCTGGTCTTGGTCTTGTCTTGGTCTCGGGTTAGGTGGTCTTGACCACAACACTGATGGTTAGGCATCTTACAGTTTTAATAGGAGCAAAAACTGATCAACAAAGAAAATGAATTAGTAGTATTTAATGTGCTTAATAACAGTTTGGTCTTCATTACTTGGATATTAAACATTTACTTGAACCTTCTTCAGACATGGCTGCTAAACTTCAATAATGGGAAAAATGGTACTGGTCAGAGAGCTGACAAAGAAGAGAGGCATCCACAAGATCTAACATTCCTAATGAAGTACTTTAATATGAAAGACCCCCACTCGTCTTAATAACCACATGGCAGCCTGCTTGAAATTTGCCCAGAGATCTGTGGAATTTAAACAAACTCACTCTTATGAAGTTGACAGCTCTGCAGTACTTTGACCACACTTACTCCATTTTATGCATGATTTATAAGCATGGCTATGCTATTTACTTTCCATCTCCACCACATTATACAGCTTGAATATAGAACATGGTGTTTGGTAGGTCGTCCCTACAAGAGAATTGGGGCATGTTTATATGGCTTAAATCTTTAGATGACCTCACCTGAGCTGATTTTTTCAATTCTATATAATAAAGCAAGGTGTATTAGATTAAGATTACATGCTGTCAGTTTTAAAGTTCTTTGCAGGTTAGTATTTTGTAATGTAAAATGCAGTCTTTATTTAGCTAATTATGCTTAGTTCTGCTACTAGTATCTGCATCCAGACTTTCAGGGTCCTTGGTTTTCTATTTACATAGAGCTTTAAAAAGCTCCTCCAGACTATTTTCTGAGCATTTATATGTGCATATGCTAATCTGTGCAGTCTCACCCGCTGATAGCTGCAATCAATATTTAAAGATTCTCTTCATTTAGTCCAATCACTCAGCATCCGGGGCCATTTAAAGAGAAAACGTTCATTGCTTCGATGCTCATTAAGGAGATGAGTCGGTTCATTTTTTTTTCAGGGAGCAGACCCCTAGTGTTGTATTGACTATAAGGAAATAGCAGGAAGGGGAGGAATGCATTTGCTTTTATGTTTGCTGGTTAAAGATGTTATCAGCAATGTAAAGCTGGTGGATTTACAATCGTTGGTAGACATACGATATTAGCCTCATAGGAGGAGGGGGAGGATTTATAATGCCAGATAGGTCCTGCTTGATAGGATAACACTGTGCAATATCTTGCTTTTTATCCAGGGTTTTGTTATAAAATGACTGAGTTGTGTAGTCGGATATTAGTAGGAACTTGCTGGTCTGCTCATAAAATGTGAGAGACAACATTACGCATGGGTTTAATGCTATAATTTATCACTGTGAATGTATGAAAGCTGTTTAAGAAAGACATTCTGGGGTTGAAATTGTTACATGAACCCAGCTCTAAGTGCTATTTATCAGTGAGCATACAGTAGTTTGTTGTTAATGCCAAAAATATGTTGGAGATACCAGTCAAAGAGAAAAACATTCACTGTTATGGTGCCAACTTTTCCTCTTTTTTTCTTTACAAAGTTTTCTTACAAAAGTATTCATATTGCCTGAACTTTTTTTTGCAGCTATAACCTCAAACTGACAAGGCTCAGAATAGAGGACCCAGAATCCAACAGACAGGCTGATTTCTAAAAAGCATTTATTAAAAATAAAGGATCTGCAGGGACATGTAAGGCAGAAATATCTGCAGAGGGAAAACTCAAGTTAGTGGCCCAGTATATCTGGCAGAGGATGATTACAAACCTGTGAGTAAGTAACCTGGTCTTAAAGTTCAGTCCGTGCCCAGAGGAAGAGGTGGATTCCAGCCAAATGGCTGCCAACACCACACAGTGAACGCTGCCCAGAGAGTTCCAGATGCTGAAGCCTTGCAGACTGAAAAACTGGATGACGAACAGATCAAAGCAGGCAAAGGAAGGCAGGACTTTCCAGAAGGTGAAACCAAAGTCGGTGTTGAAGAGGTTCACAGGAATCCAAGCCAGAAGATCAAAGATACGAAGAGGTAGCTAAGGGAAATTCAGGTTGAAGTCAGGAATGAGATCCAGGTTCAGTCCACAAGTAGAATCTGAAGACAGGCCAGCCAAACAGATCAGAACAGGCAGGCTCACAGGTCCGAAGGCAGAACGGGTCAGGGTCAGGCAATCAGAACACAAACAGGTACGCTAGAGAACACTCACCAAAGTCTCCAATAATTTGGCTCTTATGACTGGAAGCAGGCAGGTTAAATAGATACTAGGGAAGGTGACACATATAAATGGTGATGAGAAACTGGGTGGAGCTAGATAGCTGAATGGAATGAACCATAAAGCCAGTCGTCAGCATCAAGACCATGACACAAACTAAAGTATATTTTGTTGGATGTAATGCTACTTTCAGACACAAAAGGATGCTTAATAAAAATGTTTTGTAATAAAGGAAAGAAAACCTTCCTTTTAGAGCAGGGGTGTCAAACTGGTTCCAGAAAGGGCCGAGTGGCTGCAGGTTTTCTTTCCAACCAAGCAATAGCACACCAGACTCCTATCATCTCATCAAGTGAGTCCAATCTGAACATGATGACATTATGAAATGACTGGAGTCTGGTGTGCTATTGCTTGGTTGGAAAGAAAACCTGCAGCCACTCGGCCCTTTCTGGAACCAGTTTGACACCCCTGTTTTAGAGTGTAAAACTCCAAAAAGTTTGGAGAACATGTAAATTATTTCCTCCTTTACTACCCCAATTAAAATCACATACAATCAGCTGCTTTTGGTAGTGGTCTTGTTTGAAAAAAAGAGAATATACCTGCATACTGTTTATTTCCATAACCTGAGTTTTTGTTACTTTTGGTTTCAGATTGTCTCACAGAGGAAACTGACCAAAGCTCTACTCAAGCAAGGAAACACTACTGGAAAGTCCTCAATAATGGTAAAACGTCACTTCAGAAGCCAGCTCCACCTCAGCTCAAAGCTAGCCTGACGTAGTCCGACTCAATTCTAGTCAGAATATGAGTCTGATACTGCTCCATAGAGCTGATTATGGGGCGTGTTTCGAACGAACCAGGAAAAAAAATGCCTCTGCACTCAATTGGATAGACCTACAACCAATAAGAGCAACGGAGTGCGTGACGTATGTTAAGCGAGGCATAGTTGTTGTCCACAAAAATCAAAGCGTGCAGTTTCACGCCTAGAATAAGAAGATGAGACTTGATCACGTTTCTCTGTTCCTCTTTTAAAATATCTTCTAGAACAGACCTAATAGCAGAATCTACTCACCCAAACTCTCCAGCGGCAGCCATTATTGTTGTCACCCTAGCGCGCTTTGGTCACGTGGTTGATTACGTTACTCTTGATCATCTGTCCATCATCGTATAAAGTCCGCCCTGACAATTTGATTGGATCGCCTGACAGTGGGCGATAATACTCGCGCTACTATGGAGCAGAGCCAGACCGAACTTCCACGAACTCAAACCTTGTGGGCGGGGCTAAGTTCTGACTGGCACCCAGGCTAGCTCAAAGCACCTACATGCACACAAATTCCAATCACAACGTTGTGCACCTAGGAGCTCTGATAATTAATTTGATGATGCCCCCTCCCCGCTTCGCATTATTCCTCATTTCCATCTAATTTCCATCACCTCTTTCTTATGCCTCTCGTCCGTCTCCCTCTCCTACACCCTTACCCCGCCCTCCCCACCTCCCTCTGTATAGGTGACAGCAGAGGAGTTGTCGGGGAATGACGATTACGTTGAACTCTCTTTCAGCGCTCGGAAGCTTGATGACAAGGTTTGTGCTGTTGTTTGCTTTAGATATTTTGGGAATGAGTGATTTATGTACATTTGTAGTTTAAGGCCGGTGAGGTTTGATGACGAGGCGACTCATGAGATAGGTGGGCACCACCCTGCTAGAATAAACCTCCTTTATCTCCCCAACTCAAACACACACACACACACACACACGCACACACACGCACACACACACACACACACACACACGCACACACACACACACACACACACACGCACACACACCCACACCCACACACACACACACACACACACACACACACACACACACACACACACACACACACACACACACACACACACACACACACACACACACAGAACTAGATTAATTTTTGGCTTTCCTTCACACCCCCGTGCATGTCCTCACCCACAGCCACGCATGACTACTTCAAACAAGTTGTGCCCAAGAGGAATGATGGAGTACAAGCTAGGGAGGGGTGGATAAATTGGAGAGGACAGGAGAGGGATGGCCTGTTGAAACAAAAAGAAAGCAGGGATAGGAGGTGAAATGATGGCTCTGATAGTGTATGAATGATTTATGCCTATGATCAAAGTGATTTTTTTTCTTCCCTTTTCTCTGTGAAGGATTTCTTCAGTAAGTCAGACCCTTTTCTGGAAATTTTCAGAGTGAATGACGATGGGACTGAGTCGCTTGTACATCGAACTGAGGTGATTGAAGAATATCCACACACATTCATACATCCTGAACTTTTTCTACATTTTGCCACCTTACAACCACTAACTTCAATACCCCTTTAACTATGCCACCTCTTGTTTTATCCAGTGGAACAAACTGCTCTGAGATTTCCCCCAAATAATAAACAGATTCCCTCTCTTTGTAATATGTTCTTAGTATGGATAAAGACGTTCTGTGAATGCCTTAGCGGTTTGCTAGAATAATCTTCAACACCATGGCTGTCCAGGAGAAGCAGTAATTAGAGATGCAACCAAGAGTGTCGTTGCTTACTTTGCAGGGGCTGCTGAGATCATCAGCTCTAGTCAGAGAAGTTGTTTAAATCTGGTCTACATCAAAGGCTAAAAGGAATAAACAAAAGAAAGCCAAAATAATTTGCAATGACTCAGAACAGAGGACCCAGTATCCATGGTAAGTCAGACAGTGGGATTATTTAAAAAAAAGCCTTTATTTAAATACTGGTGGACTGCAAATCTGCAGCAGCTAGTGTGTCTGAGGTAGGAACCTTTGAAGGAGAGAAACACATGTTTTGACCAAGTAAATCTAATGGAGGAAGATTATGAACGCGAGGCACTTACCTTGTTGAACAGTTCAGTGCATGCCCAGAGAACAAGAAGGATCCATTCCGGTGGGCTGCCAACAAAATGCGGCTGTCCAGAGCGTCCAGACACTGCAGCCCCGGAGAACAAGCAGGAATCTGAAGCCCGGTCAGGCAAACTGTTCAGAGAGGAACAGGCAGGCTCAGTGGTTGAGAGGCAGAACAGATCAGTATCAGGAAATCAGAAACACTCAGGTTTGCTAAAAACACTTTCACCACTTGCTAGAGAGAACAAGAGTAATCAGATCCTAATGACTGGATGCAAGCAGCTTAAATAGAGGCAGGAGCAGGTGGATCAGATGAGCAGTGATTAAAAGCCAGGAAGAGTTATAAAGTTGAATGGAAAGAGTAATTAAGCCAGTCATCAGTGCCAAGATCATGACAGAATCCCTGTAAGTGATGCAGAAATGTAGAAACTGAACTTGTTTGCCTACATGCCAATACAGTAAGTAGTGGAAACCTGGCTCTGCACATCAACCTCAGCTCATTGCCATTAGACATGGTGGGAGAAATGTCATATGGCATGAAGGCTTGCCTTTAGCATAACAAGAAAGCTGGTTGTACCTAATGTGAAAATCGATGAAGCTGAATACTGAGAAATTCGAAGAGCTTTTAGAACACAGGTATCAAACTCCAGTCCTCAAGGGCTGATGTCCTGTAACTTTTAGTTCTGTCTCTGCTTTAACACATCTAAATCAAAAACAATTAGGTCATTACTAAAACTCTGGAGAAATTACCTAAAAGCTACAGGAGAGTGGCCCGTGAAAACAAGAGTTTGACACCCCTGTTTTAGAAGGTGTAAATGTACTGAGACTGGAGATCATCCAGGTCATTGATTCTCAACACAGAAGCAGAGCTATGATGGAAAATGAATGGATCAAAATATGAGAAAATGTTGAACAGTCTAGTTTCTTCAGTTTTCCAGTCAACTGTTATAGATCTACTTAAATGTATTCATTTAATTATGTGTCATTCACAGACAGTGATGAACAACCTGAGCCCTGTTTGGAAATCCTTTAAAGTTTCCTTGAACACTCTTTGCAGTGGTGACCATGACAGAGAGCTAAAGGTGAGTTTGAACACAAAGGTTAAAGCGGAGATAAAATGATAGAAGCCAACTTTTATTGAATTTTAAATACAACCTGCCACACTCTATGTGGAAAACCTTGAACACAGCTTTTTTTTCACGATTCAATTCATTTAGTAACACACAAAGCTTGTTTAGAGGAGCAAGGCCGAACCACACCTGCATGCCTACTGAAGTTTTTTTCAACTATCAATTTCTCTTCTTGCTTTTTTTCTCTCTAATCCTTAAGAAACATGTCATGTAAAATCTACTGCTTCCTTAAAAAGGCTTCAGACCTTAATTAGATATTTCAGGCCATGGCTTGTTCAAGTAATACAAAACTCCAAGCTTAATAAGTACACTCGCTCCTAATAGCCTGTGCTGACAATCAGCCGTGCATAGGTTATTTATTCTCTCGGAAATCAGGAAACTATGCAGGCTGATTGCAAATAAATATAAGAGAGACTGTTCTAGGTTGTTCTGTTTTCCAAGTATGCAATATAATCAAACAATTCCAATCAACATAAATATGGGAAGTCACATTAACAAGATCAAGGTAACTTTTGAAGTTGTGTACTTCAAACTAAAGGATCGTGGGCTGCATTGACCTCTAACATTATTGTGCACGTTCATTTCACAATGGTTAAAAATTAATTCATCTTCATACTTCATTTCAAACATACCCATCGTCTTCTGCTCATCTGGAATCGGATCGTAGTGACAGCAATCTCAGCTGAGACTCCCAGACTTTTCTCTCCCTAGACACCTCCTCAAGCTCCTCTGGGGGAAGTCCGAGGTGTTCCAGGGCCAGCTGGGACATAAAGTCCCTCCAGTGTGTCCTGGGCCTTCCCCTGGGCCTCCTCCACATGGGATGTGCCTGGAACACCTCTTTAGGGAGGTCATGCAAACATTCGTAACTAATGTTTTTAATTAAACGCACAACTCCAGTGACTAGTTTTCCTTTTTTTTTACCATTTTCTCAAAAAATTAAATTACTAAAGGTCATGAAGTCCTCCTTTACTTAAAAAAATCATTATTTCATCATGTGCTTTTATTCAAACAAAGCTTCTTTGGTTTGTTTTCCCCTATTTGACCCTATTTGAATAGCTCCTAATAAAAAAAAACCCTTTTAAAGTGTTTTTCTTCATTTCACTTCTTTTCTTTTACCTTTCATTCAAAAAGCAAAATGTTAAAGTTATCACTGAAAAGTGTTCAATTTTTATCAGTATAAATATGCTACAATACCAGTTCCAATTGTGAGATTTCTTTTAAAACCCTGGCTCTATTTCAAAATGTCACCTCAAAAGATAAAATCTTGGCCTATTTTTGCCTGTGCTGCATTCATATATCTCTGCTCTGCAGCATGTAACTTAGGGCCTGCCTGCAACAGATAATGCACAATTACAAAATAATTGGGGTGCAGAACTTGATATGATTCATTTTCTGATATTTAAAGTGTAAAACTCCAGTTTAGGTATTTAAGATTAAAGAAAGGAGAAATGCATAGATTCTACATAGCAAGTACTTAGAGAGAGAGAGACATGCTACCTGTTTTATAAAAGCATTGGTTAATATGGTCAGCAGAAAAGACCAGGCTATTGCCTTTTAGAGGAAATTTGAGATAAATCTCTAAAAAGTAGTAACAGTACAGTAGATGATTGTTTTGACTACGTTTTGAATAACTGCACATGCACAAGACTATCCTACCAAAAATTTTTAAGTAGATTGAGAGCAGTGGTGCTACCATGAATGGCTGAAAATGAAGCTCTTCTGGATAAAGACTAGAAGTGGTTATTAGCGGGGAGGGGAAACTTGCAAGGAATGTGCATCACAATGCTTGGGTGAGCATCACAATCATCCAAAAATTTTAATATTATCTTGACTAACTGGGATGGTTTTAATGATCCAGAATCTATACCCTTTCTGCAATATTTGTTCCATAAACTCATCTCATAGGCAATAGGTCCATTTTTTTTTAAATTTAAGACAAAAAGAGTACCGTATTTTCACGACTATAAGGCGCACTTAAATGTCTTTTTTTCCCCTCAAAATGTGCGGTGCGCCCTATGGTGCGGTGCGCCCTATGTGTGTTGTAACTGCGACTTTTGAGACCACCTCATTGAGGAGATGATGAAAGAGTGGCTGAATGTAAGGAGACCAGGTGTTTTTTTTCCACTCATCACCATTAATCTGTAACTCCATGCGTGCCCATCTCACAGCTGATGTGAAAAACATGGGGAAACAAATTAACCCTGTGCTCGCTGTTCAACCGCTCGACATCGGTGTGAACCGGACCCAGCAGGTGCAGCAGAAGCAGCGAGTTTACATGCAAAGTCAATGGTTGACGCGCGTATAGGTGCAGCAAAAGGTCCTGCAGCGCGTTTTGAGCCGCAGGTGCAGCACGTCGGGATCGTTTAAGCATCTGACGCACCGCCAACGCGCTGCTGCTGCTCGAGATGGAAAAATTGAAGTTTTGCTGCTGGACGCGCCGCATCAACCAATCAGAGAAGCTGATCTGGGAGCTGACAGCGAGACAGACACAGCGCTCTGATGACATATGATATTAAATGAAAAAGGCTGGATAGATGAGGAGATGATGAAAGCGTGGCTGAGGAAGGTGTAGCCTATGTGAGGAGACCAGGTGTTTTTTTCCACGCATGACCATCGCTGCGTGCCCATCTCACAGCCGATGTGAAAAAAAAGGTGAATCAAATGAACGCTGTGCTCGCCGTTATCCCGGGGGGTCTGACAAAGGAACTTCAACCGCCCAACATCGGTGTGAAGCGCCCGTTCAAAGTAAGGCTGCGAGCGGCGTGGGAGCGATGGATGGCCGACAGAGACCACAGTTTCAGGATAAGTGGAAGGCAGCGCCGGGCAAGTTACGCCACCGTTTGCGGATGGATTGTTGATGCTTGGACTAAAGTGTCTGCTGGCTCTGTTCTTCAAGCTTTTGCAAAAGCAGGCATTATTTCCGAGGAGCCGCGCTGCACGGAAAGTGACTGACAGCGAAGAAGGGGAAATTGGCATGTCTGATTTAGCGCAGCTGTTTAATTCAGAAACAGAGGATGATGACTTTGATGGGTTTGATTAATACTTTGTAATAAATACATGAATAAAGCACAATCATACTCAGTTTTGCTCCCGCTCTATTTTTCTACCTGAAAACTTAATTCAACAGCAGCCTCTGGGCGGGTCTCCTCCTCTTCACCGCGGCGGCTGGCAGGTGTTTTTTCATCTAAATAATCTTAATCTTGCAGCTATATTTGCTGTGATCAGTGGGAATAAAGTAGTTTTAATATGTTTTTAAGTGAGAAAGTCCACCTGAAAACTTCATAATTGCAGTCAGTTCATCCAGATTATCTATTTCTGTCGGAGGCGCTCAGACCCCCACATACCAGCGGTGCACCGACAGTAGAAATCCTTTCGTTCACCGCGGCTGCTGGCAGGTGTTTTTCATCTAAATAATTTAAACTGCAGGCACCAGGATGCCGGCAATAAAAGCGAACATATTCCGTCGGCAGGTTTCAGGATTTTAAGTTAATTTAGGAGTGACCACAGCGCTGTGTCATCTGCGATGTGTCTGTCTCATGGCCAGCTGCCAGGTTTGATTAATAGTTTGTAATAAATACATGAATAAAGCACAGTCATACTCAGTTTTGCCCCCGCTGTATTTTTAAATACGCAGTAGAGGTATTTAAAGGTAGTAGAGGACATGTACCTGTATATAAAAAACGCGCCCTTTAGTCCGGTGCGCCTTATGTGTGTGTTAAATACAGAAATGGGACACATAACTGAGACTGCGCCTTTTAGTACGGTGCGCCTTATGGTCGTGAAAATACGGTAACTTGTTTTTTTTAACTTATTTTCTGCTTGCATCTTCTTCACCTAGCAATTATACATGCCATATGTGCTGTTGCAATTTGTTACTGACTTTGAGACATGCTAAATGAATCCACTTTGCCCTCCTCAAAACATTGGGTGGACTGCACCAATTTTTCTCTATTATCAACTGCAGCTGCGTGCAATCTCAGTTGATTGTCCATAATACAACTACTACCTACATGTATTTTTATACAGATATATATTGCTTTTATTTGGGATTTTATTAGGATAGGATTACATGTACTAAAACTGAAAATCCTTAATGCATTAGATCAGTTTTCAAGCCTTGTTTTCCAACATATCACTGGTTAACCTATGTAATGCTGTGTGCTTGAAGAAAATTCACAAATAATATAGGACTGTGTCATGATTAAAGCCCAAGCTATGTGTGAAAGTAAAGTGGGAAGTCAGAGAATGCAAAGTTTTAGTGCAAGTTTTGGATTCAGATTCATTAAAAGTTACCAAACATTCCCTCTCTGCAGCTTCTCAAAGACTGTGCATACATACTGCAGTGGAAGCATTTCACAGCTCTACTGATGGCATATGGGAGGGACACATGCTGAAAAGAAACTATCATGCTGGCAGTTTGTGACGCCTTTTAATAGACTGCACAAACAGTTCAAATGCTTTAAAAGATAATATACACTCACTGCCAGTTTATTAGGCAGACGTGAGCAACTGTTCGTTAACAAACATTTCTAATCAGCCGATCACATGGCAGCAACTCAATGCATTTAAGAATGTTGACAGCCAAGACGGTCTACTACAGTTCAAACCAAGCATCATGGGGAAGAAAGGTGATTAAGAGATTTTGGGATGGTTGTTGGTGGCAGAAGGGCTGGTTTGGGAATTTTAGAAACTGCTAATCTACTGGGATTTTCACCCACGAACATCCCTTGGGTTTAAAGAGAATGGTCTTAAAAAGAGAACATTTCCAGTGAGCGGCAGGTCTGTGGGTGAAATTAACTTATGGATGCCAGAGGAGAATGACAGACTGGCCCAAGATGATAGAAAGGCAACAGTAAAACAAATATCCACCTTGAGATGGATGGGCTATAGCAGCAGAAGTCCACATTGGGTGACCCTCTTGTAGGCTAAGAACAGGAAACTGAGGCTATAGTTTGCACAGGTTCACCAATATAGGACAGTAAAATATTGGAAAAAGCATTGCCTAGTCTAATGAGTCTTGATTTCTGCTGCAACATTCAGCTGGTTAATAAATTGGTGTCAACATGAAAGCATAGATCTATTCTGCCATATATCTGCGGTTCAGGCTTGTGGTGGTGTGATGGTGTTGGGGACTTTTTCTGGGACACTACGGGCCTCTTGGTACCAATTGAGTGTTGTGTTAACTTCAAAGCAAATTAATGTTATTGATGAGCATGTCCATCCCTTTATGGCCACAGTGTACCCATCTACTAATGGCTACTTCCACCAGGATAGCACACCAAGTTGTAAACTGTATATTTCTTTCTTGAACATGAAAATAACTTCACTGTACTCAAATGGCCACCACAGTCACCATATCTCAATCCAATAGAGTGAATGATTATGGCAGTTCTAAGTGCAAAAGGTGGTCCAACCCGGTACAGCAGGGTGTACCCATTGTAAGAAAGTAGCTGGGGAGTGTAGGGTTAGCCTGGCCCTCTTGCAGAGGAACCTTGTTTCATCCACCTTTGTCTGTGGTCTCGTTCTTTCAGTAATGGCCATCTCTCTTTGGTGTATTTATGGGTTCGGAAGCAAACAGTTCCGAACTAGGTTTCGGAACTAGGCACTAGGTTCTTGTTTTCCTTTGCTTGATGCAAATGCTAATCACCAACTTAAAGGAAGCTGCCTATTTTTCCTTTCCATTTTCACAGTTACTTTAAATTTGTTCAGTACTTCAGAATTCTTGATCATAAGAGCTAGAAGCTGTTTACAGCAAATAAAAGTTATCCAAGCAAAATACTAAAGAAGCTTAAAAGGTTTTCAACTTTGTTTACAAGCTGTCATACTTGCCAAAAAGTCTTACTAAGTATCTAAGCTTTTGTCTATGTCTATGTATTAAGATTGTAAAAAGTAATTGAAGAAATATTCTTAAGCCATTTTATTATTCAGCATCACCATAAACCATTTAAACAAAGGTGACAAAACCTATGTAAACCAGTATAATAGAAAATTATTCAAATAAAAAAGCAGCTCTTTTTACTATCTCTCTAGACCTATGAGCTTAGTTTGGGTGAAGTGCCTTATGAAGCATCTGTGGTATTTAAAAGGCTCAGTGGTCAGTTAAACACTCACCTTCCCTTGCCCCCTCTTCTGTGTATGTGTGCAAGGCTGCACATCAGCTGTGAACATTTATTCTTCTTATGAATAAACATGAAGTTGTTCATTAATTATTCAAAGCCTTCTTAACTCTGTGTGGCTCCTGACAGCAGGAGAAAGGGCTTGCACACTCAGGGACGCACATGAACGCTATCGGCCATGATGTCCTGGGCTACCTGTTTGAAGCATCAGAGTCAGAGTTAGAAATGGCACGGCATAGATTTCCATTCAGTCCAAGACTTTCCTTTCACTGAGGTCCTTAACTGACCAATGCATAAATGCATAACCCTCCTCCGCTGAGTCTGGCTGTCTCTTCCTTTGTACTTCTCCTTGCTGGTTTCTTCACCTCCCTACTCTTCCTTTCCCCCCACCCCTCTCATTGGCCTCTTGCTCTCACCAACAGTTAGTATTCAGTGAATGGAACAGGGCTTCTTCATTTTTTCATTAGTGCCTTGCACAGCCTTTCAGTTTCTTGAAGTGGAAGCGAGGCTGCAAAGGCAGACACTCCCTCTCCTTCCACACAGAAATTATTGGCAAGAAGAGAACAAATTATGAGACACACACACAAAGACAAAAAAAGGAACATGTACACTTCAGGTGCAGGCTCTTTGCAGCTTAAGTGGAAGACAGGAAATAAGAGGATTATTGCTGGTCTTTGTTTTTAATTATAGCTGTTGGACTGGTTCAGATTGCTTGTGGCGGGTTTGACCTAAAGAGGGTCAAAGGATTTACAGCAAATTAGCCCACTACAGCTGAACCGACACAATGCTGGCCTGGTTATAAGTGTTAAATCATAAATCCAATCTCTTTGATGTTATTGAACACAGTACATCAAAGGAAAAGCCCTTATAACAACACCTACTGGACACTGTTCACCACGCCACTGTCAGCTTTGACCCTAGTTTGCCTTTAGAGATGTTTTAATTCTCTGTGCCAGAGTTTGTTCAATGCCGAGAAGATTGATAAGATTTGAGCGATGCTACATGACAAGAAATCAATCAATTTTTCTACTTATAAAGGGATGGATATGAGCAGCAACAACATTTCTGTGGGCTTTGGTATTTGAACAATAACTGGTCGAGGAGACTAAAGTGTTCTCCACATAATCTTTACGCCATCAAAAGTCTAAATTATTCATAAGGTATGACTGATCTACACTTTCATGATGTTTACAGCCAAGTTCTGACGCTATTTTGGATCCTGTATGAATTTTGAACGAGGTAACACCTTTCATTATCTTTTATTATTGAACTTTGTTGGAAAGCACAGAAAATGTAGTCTTAGTTACCTGTTTTATCTGACAGCAGTGGCTCCTATCATGATCTTCTGTTTCTGTAGTCTCATAAAGGTAGATCTTCATTGCATATAGAAACAATCTTCTAAATACCATGGTTCCAGTAAGTGGTTATAAGAGTTATCTTACCTTTATCGCAAACCAGTCAGCCCATTTTACAACTTACTCCTAACATTAATAAGGTATTTTTTGACATAAGAGCAGCCTATTGGAAAAAATCTTTCTTTTTGAATATTATCTATACAATCTAGAGATGGTTTTAAGTGAATATCCCAGCAGATCAGCAGTTTCTGATAAATTTGATGATTGATCATCCCATCCATAGCTTATCTAAGCATCAGTGCAGGGAGGCTGTTGCCCATCTCTTTTTTTTTTTTTTTTTTGCCCATCTCTTGCAGGTTTTAGGCATTAGAAATTCCCTTTAAATAAGCAATTTAACATGAATATTGTAAACAGATTGAATAAATAAAACACAATTCTAGTCATATTGCTCAAGCATTCACACGCTTGCACTCACTATGGCACATTCATTGAAACACCAGTAGTAACTTATTGTAAGGTTCACATATTTACAAGTAGAAACATCACAGCTAGAACTGAACCAACAGCTTTTCTATCTGTATTTAATACAACTGCCTGTGTGTATGAATATATAAATGCCTTTTGTCATATTTTGAAATAATCCGATTATTTCTTTGTGAGCTGTTGAAGCTTTGGCCTCTGACCCTTTTTTGATTGTAGTCATTTATATTGTGAAATAGCTCCTCTGAGGGAGAAAAACTATTATGTTTACACTCTGACACTCATAAAGCTGTCTCTTAAGCCTCTCAGCACCCTTAGATTAATATTTCACTGCTCTATGGCCCCCCCACCAACACCACCCTATCAATCATTCAGCATGGCATTTCTTTGCAGGTCTGTTGATGCATCTGTACGCGTTCAGGTAGGGGATCTTACCATGTGTGCCTGTTTGTGTTTCTCTTTCCGACTTAGTCTACAGTTTGGGACTGGGACTCCAATGGCAAACACGACTTTATTGGAGAGTTTCAGACCACTTTTAAGGAGATGATGAGGGCAGAGCAGGAGGGCAAACAGGTAAGAAAATGCACATTCCAAATTAAAGCCGTGGCTCATATGTGCTCTGCATGTAATTAGGCACACAGCTTCCTCTGTGCTCCTTTAGCACCACATTAAAATACCTTCTTGTGTAACAATATTCAGAAAGTGCCTTGAAACACCCTCGTGTGCAAAGCACCGACAGCCACAGCCTTCTTGTGTTTTTTCAGATCCAGTGGGAATGCATTAATCCTAAATATCAGATGAAGAAAAAGAATTACAGAAACTCTGGTACTGTAATACTCAACCACTGCAAGGTAATAAACTCAGCATCATCCTGATGTCTCTAGAGTTTGTCTCTAGTTTTTTGTGTGCCTTTCTGTCATTGTTATTTTTTTCTAATTTTGTTGATAAATTGTTATATGTCTAAAATGTCATGTATTTCATAGCTGAAGGTCTGCCAACATTATCACGTTACCTTATAAAATTTAATTTTTCCCAATTTCTTACTTTACAACCACAAGCGTTAATTAGGATGTTATGTGATAACACAACAACAAAACTGATGCTTGGCTTTGAAATGCTCTTCACAACCCAAATCTGAATGGTTTGGACTTTTATTTGTTTTCCTCTGATATGCCTAAACAAAACCCAATGCTACCAACTGCCTCATATATAAATAGTAAATAGGGCCCAACTGCGTATAATTTAGTATCTGTAGAGCACAGAGAATAAAGTGAATCATGGAACCAAGGAAAACATCAGAGAGTTAACAGTATAGCACAGCAAGAAATCTACCAAGACATGGCTGCCCACCTAACACTTAGGCTTTGGCAAGGCTGGCTTTTGATAGGATAAGGAACCAAGAGGCATACTATAACAGTTCAAAAGCTACATAGATCTATAGCTTATAGTCATCCACTCCACAAATATAGAATTCATGAAGAATGGCAAGAAGAAGGTCATTCTTGAAAATAAGTCATATTACAAAATTTTGCTGTTTCTTACTACAAGACATGAATGGGGCATTATATACATATGAATTCACCTGTGTCTTGATTTTTCTAAGGCTTGGACCCACATGCAGCAAAGCCAAACAGAGAGACACAGTATAAAAGTTCAACGGGTTTTATTGAAGAGCATATGAGTTTGGTGCAGAGTTCCTCCGAACTCTGCTCAGCCGGAAACTGGAAGACGAGAGGAAGACAGATTGTTAGATTCAGGCTCAGTGGGAAATTGGAGCTGTTAATCTTGAAGGAGAGGATTTGATGCAACTCCTGTTTCCAGGGAAGAAGAGACACGTAGACTCCAGTCTGTGTGTTGGTCTTCCAGAGTTTGTTTGATTCGGTGGAGGGCGGAACAGGGTTTACCCAAAGCTCGGACAGAGTGGAATTATGCAGCCGCTGGTTGAATGGGTCATGGTGAAGATGACTTCCTTACTCAGAGATTGAGCTCAGCGTGCTCAAAGGTGGCTGGATCCAAACCTCCTGTTTGGAATCCGTCGCTCTGTGCAAGACTCAGTTGATCCCACTTGGGAGAAGGCGGTCCGAAAAGGTCCAGTTTGCAGGAAGGCTTCCTACCGAAAGGCAAAGAACAAAGTTGAGACTCAGGGAGAAACAAGCGCTCAGAAAACTCAATGAGATCTCAGCTTGGCTAGAGGACAAAAACTCAAATGCAAAAACTCAGATTAGACTCAGCATTAACAAGGCTTGACTAGAGTACCCCAAACTGGTGTCGAAGTAGTGGCAATCAGCAGATTAAGAGCAGTCCAGTGATGAGGCAACAGCTTGCAGGTGTGTGAGGAGGCGAAACCGGAGTCAGGCGCCTCCTGGTGGTGGAAGGGAGAAACGCAAAAGACAAGACAAACAGACAAACACAAAAACTGGGATCCTGACAACCTGAATCCTTGAAGTGAAACATTGTTCTACAAATTGGACTGAGGGAGGTGTCCAAAAACCACTGTTTTTAAATTATTAATTGTAAAACAAATTATTTTGTGTTGGTACTACAAAATAAACCCGATCACAGAGAAATGCGTCACTGTTCTGTGACAAAATGAAAGAAAATTTACGTGCATAAATACTTTTACAAGGCACTCAATACAGCATTTACTTTAAGCATATTTACTTTTATTTATAATATTTACATATTTACTACTCACTGGGTAATCTTATGTTGCCTATGGAAGATTGTGTCCTTTCTGTATTAAAAACAGTTTTTCGGATCCTGCTGCATATTCATATATCAGTGTCAGTAGTGAGCAGCCCAGATTAGGAAAACAAGCAGATTTTCCTGCATTTTTTGGCTCATATAAAGAGAGTGGCTACAGCCAAGCATGCTCTGGGATGCTGAGATAATCTACATGATGCTCAAAGGGATCTAAGTTGGCTTTCTTTTATGGAATTGGTCGTTTATTAATTTCTTGTGGAAATACTGTCATACTCCAACCTTTTTCATCAAACGTATTTGTCATTATGCACTTTTTAGATGACATTTTCAGGGTTAGATAGTAGTTTATAGTAATTTATGTTTTAAACTTTAAGAGGAAAAAATGATAGAGCACACCAGGAAATTGAAACTGAAGGCTTAAATTTACCTTTACAATGAACTCTGAGAAATAGTGCATTTACTCAAACAAATAATCATATTTCAAGGAGTATGAATAATGTATGGTTTGAGGTTAAAAAATAACAAAAAATAACATTTGGGAGTAATATAATATCACAGTACACCTCCATTTTGGGGAAACTTTGCTTTAGTCCCGGCAGAGTTGTCATTTTAGGAATGATAATTATTAGGTTAGTCAAAAGTTACTGATACACAAACCCCCACAATCGCAACTGGAAAAACTGATGGTTAAAAATAATTTCAGCAAAGGAGTAAATGTCAAGCTCAGAACAATAGTATCCAGTATCTTAGACAGACAAACAGATTTCTCAAAACATTTAATGGAAACGGAACTGCAGGAACCTCTGGAGGAGGAGACAACAGGTTAGTGACATGTCTATCTGGTGGAGGATGAAAGGAACATGTGAGTCACTAAGCTAGTCTTAAAGTTTAGTCTGAGCTCAGAGGATGAGGTTGGTTTCAGCTGGTCAGCTGCCAACGCTATGCAGCGGTTGCCGTCCAGAGAGTCCCAGGCACTGTTTTTTTGGAGGTCGGAGGACAGGAAGGAGATCAGAATCGAGCAGACAAAGGTAGGCAGAATAATCCAGAGGGCGAAGCCAAAGTCGGTATCGAAGAAATGCTTGGTAGCAACAGCCAGGAGATTAGAGGTTCGAAGAGGTGCCTAGGGGAAATCCAGAACAGAGCCGGGAAACAGCTCCAGGTTTAGTACACAGATAGGCAGAGATCCGGCAGGAGTCTGAAGACAGGTGAGGCAAAAAGATCAGAATGGGAACAGGCAGGCTCAGAGGTCCAGAGGCAGAATCAGGAAATCAGGAAATACAGGAATGTAATGTAATGTTGGTTCTGTTGTTTTTCTCTAGGTTTTCAGTTTCAAGTTCATCCAGGTTTTTCCTTGTTTTCTAGCCTTAGTGGTGTGTCTGGATTCATTTATGTTTCTTAGGTTTTTCTTTGTCTGCCCTCTGTTGCCCCCTTGTGTTTTCTTTTCCCTTGGCTTCCTCATCAGCTCTAGTCACACCTGCTCTTTATCAGCTCGTTAGTCTTGCCTTTGTTAGTCAGCGATAAATACTCTCCCTCTGCAGTCCCTCTTTGCTGGTTCCTCGTCGTACTATGTCATACCCTGGCCCCTTGTGATGGTTTCCCCCTGATGTCTCCATGGTTCTGGTTTGTGTTTTATTTTTATGTTGGATTTTTGGATACATGTTTTTGTTTAACATTCAATCCAAAAAGTTGTATTTTTTGGATTCCTGTTTTTGCTGCCTGATCATTCATTAAATCTTTAATGAACTCACCCCTGCCTGTCAGCCTCTGCATTTGGGTCCTCACAAAAACCTCCAAACAAAACGTGACAAGGAATGCTCGAAAACTTCTCACCACAGGCTCAAAATAATGACTGATGACTGGTCTGTAGGCTGGTTAAATAGAGACTGAAGCAGGTGGATCAGATGAGCACTAATGAGAACTGGACAGAGATAAGCAGGAGAGGGAAATGAGTAATCAGTCCAGACATCAGTGCCAAGATCATGAGAGTAATTTTAGAACCTTACAATCTTTTAATGTCAACTTCATCAGAAAACATGAAGAAATAAAGAAAAACAAGGAGTGAGAAATGAGTAGTAGAAAATAGCCCAAAGAAATTGAAATTTACTCGCACTAAAGCTAACACACAATCCATTATTCTGTCCAATACATATGCATTACACCTGTAAAACTCAAAAGATGTAATCCTAATATTTTAGATCTGTGTACAAAATGCATGAACGAGAAAGGGCTGCAATTACATTGCCTATGGAAATCAAACAAAATCAAGTCTTTTTGGGAAGAGGTTAGGAAAATATCTTGGGATTAAATCCTAGTGGTCATAAATATAGAAGAACTGTGTTTTATAGATATCCGTCTCTTACATGCCAGAAAAAATATCAGTCTTTTGTAAAAGAATTGATAGTCCAAGTGTTACATTTCAGATTTGACAAATGTTTAAAACTTTTCCCATAGAAAGAATAACGTACATACAGAGAGAGAAACAAGAGAAATTTAACAAAATCTGAAATCTATGTTTTTTTTATTCTTTAAAGATGCAAACATCATAGAAAAAGTAAATTAAATATAAGAATATAGCGATCCTGCTAAATAAGATAAAAAAAAATTGATGACATGTGTAAATGTGATTGATATCTATCATCCATATCTGAGGGGCATTTTCTATTTTTTTTTCTTTGATTGTTTTATACTTTTTTTGTTGTGTTTGTTTCACTGTTAGGTAAGTTGTTCCTCATCAAATGTTCGGACCATATTTTAAAAAAATGTACGATATGTATGTATAATTGAGATCCATAAAAACTTGGACCATACAATTGTTTCTTGCATTCCTTTGGTTAAGAGAATAAAAATGAATGATTGAATTAAAACAGACTAAATCTCGCACCAACATGTACCCCTTGACTGTTGTCTCTGTGTTCTGGTCATGGCCGTGCAGCCATCTTGCCTGGGGTCCCATCTGGACTGTTTAGCAAGTGAGGCCTGAGGGCATGTCAGCAGGGTGAAGACCTTCACATGTTCCCCTAGAGCCGCGGTTCTCAAAGTGTGTGGCGCGACCCACTGGTGGGGAATTGAGACGTGACAGGTGGGGCGCGCCAAGTTCCGGTGTGTGTGTGTGTGTGTGTGTGTGTGTGTGTGTGTGTGTGTGTGTGTG